GTGTGAGATTGCCTATATTGGCCAACTCCATTATGATATAGAATAATGAATGTAGCAGTTCCACCTGCCAATAATGGGGATCAGATACCAGCCTAACACCTTCCATGCCTGGTGAGCAGAGATTCAGCAGATGCCTTCTGTGCCAACTTTTAAATGCCTGCTGAAAACTTTTCTATTCCGCCAGGCCTATTCAGGCAATTAAAAATATTTTATTTTTCCATCTATAAGAAGTCCCCAAGTTTAAGAAGTCTCCTATTTTGGGGGACTCAGATTTAAGAAAATGGGGGGAGATGGTCCAGAGTATAAGACACCCCCTAATTTTTGACATTATTTTTAGGGGGGGGGAAACCTAGTCTTATTCCACAATGATGTGTGTTAAACTGATGTCTGTTTAACTTTTTTATGGTTTTATTGCATGGTTTTATGTTTTTATTGTTGTAAAACATTGAGATATATAGCAGAATACAAATATTTATATAAATTATTTTCATCATGGAGGAAAATATGTTTTTCATTATGTACAGAAAGCCATCAAAAGAAAATGGAATGGATGAGAGCCCTTAAACTTGCATCAAGAAATGAGAATCAGTTAAATAAGCCCAGCGCTCAATGTCATGTTCCAAACATTTGGCCACACCAATTAGCTTCCAACTAGAATTACTTCCTTCCATTCTATAAGGTAGGCATCGGCAAACTCGGCCCTCCAGATGTTTTGGGACTACAATTCCCATCATCCCTAGCTAACAGGACCCAGTGGTCAGGGATGATGAACTGTAGTTTCAAAACATCTGGAGGGCCAAGTTTGCCTAAGCCTGCTATAGGGTCTTTCTCTAAAAAAACACAATGTCCACCTCTAGGGAATAAAGGAAAGTCCTGTTTGTTTCTGGACTATCTGATGGAAGCATCAAGGAACAATTATATGCCTTGTCTCACTTTTAGTATGAAGTAAAAGACCCAGTCTGTAAAAGGATTTGCAAGTGTAACTATCAAAGGTTGATGAATGCAGCCTAAATCTAACACCAAGCCAAAATGGCAGTTTGTTTTTTTGTTCTTTCATCTTTTAGGATTCAAAGGAGACTGAAGAAGGATTTCCTGTGTGGTTTTGCTTAGAATTTTCATATATTCACAGGTTCTCTTCAAAAAGGAGGTGTTCTGAGTATCATATAAATAATTCCTACGTGGTTTTTTTAAACGCACACCCTTTTAGCCGTAAAATCTCAGTGATGCTCTAAAGCAGCCTGGACTACAACTCCCATCATCCCCAACTACGGGCCCTGCTGGTGGGGTGAATGACAGTTGTAGTCCAAAACATGTTGGGAAACACTACTCTGAGGAGAGCTTTTCTAGCAAGGGGAAATGTTAAACATGTTTAAATTAGACTCTATTAATAACAGACTTAAGAGAAAGCAAGTGAGCCTATTCTCAGTTTACTCATTCTACAGCTTCTGTAGATTGAAGATTTCATTTATTTTACCTTTACCATGACAGGAATAAAAACCCTGGTCAGTGAAAATCTGATCCCCTTAATCAGACTCTGAGGACAATGAGTAAGGGAAGCAAGAATCGCTCTTAGCTATGCTTTTGCTTTCTAACACACAAATCATTTAACAGAAGCTTCTAGCTCTCATGAGTGCAGCAGAGGCCAAACTGATGAGTCACCAGACTGCCAAATTTTCAACCAACAATTTCAGAACCTGTCACGTGAGTGAGGGGCTGACTCATGACTAGTTCCAAATGGCAAGGCCACATTAATGGTTTGGAAGCATAGGAAGTCTTCTCTTTCCATTCAAGTCCTCTGAAGAAGCCAGGAACAAACTAGTTTCTAAGGATGAAATGCCATGTGGCACAGTCCAGCAAGCATGACTCATGTGAAGAAATTGCAGTTAGAGTTTTGAATACCAACGCCTATCAGTTTAGGCCTGAAATAATTTTTCTCTCTCTCTCTCTATATATATAGGAGAGAGAGCATGCACCAAGGTTTATCAAGGTTTTCCACAAACTAACTGTCTCGAAGAAGGAAAGCTTTTTATTGGGCCAAAATGAATAATAGGCACAGGGAATATGAGGACTGGGAAAGTATCTGAGGATTTATTCTGTAAGTACTATGGGGATAGGTGGGAACTATGTAAAAGACCATTTATTTCTTTAAAAAGTGAAAGAACCAGAACTAGGTTGAAAAGTACCTCACATTTAACTCAATTCACCCCCAAAGAAGCAAAAATAAAAAATAAAAGTGCATTTCTCAACAGGGTTAACAAGAATAGTTGCAAAATACCAATTTCCCACAAACAATGGGTCATATACACACAGCACTGACTTCCAGAATATAACAATGTTACAATTGTATTCAAGGCACGGCAGGGGGTGGCGGCACAGAAACACCTAGATTTCTTCCTGCATAAACACAGTCTTAATGAATTAGCCCTGGTGATTTCATGATCCAAATCTAATAGAAGCGTAGGTTTCACTTTTGAAAACGTACATTCAACAAGGAAGACGCCTACAGCTACATTTTGAAGGAGAGAAAGGAAATCAACTCAGGAAGTTACAGTTAGCCAACGGCACTGAAGAAAGCACCTGCCTTGTATGGCTAAAACAGCAATTTCAGGCAGGATTGCTCTATGCAGGACACTTTGCGATACATACAGCGGATTTGCTATCGTCTTGCTCACAGCTAAGCTACCTCCATCTTAAAACCAGAGAGCGAAGCAGTGCGCATCCGGTAACGTATGTTATTTAGAAGCTTCTCCACAAATACGAATGCGATGGAAAGCAAACAAGGAGGCCCAGCACAACCCCATATACCTCTTCTCAGAAGTAAGCCCCATTAAGTTCCATGGGAATTTATTCAATTAGTATGTGCAGAGCAGCAGCTTGCAGTTTGCAAGCGGCAGCTTGCTACCCTCAGGAGAGAAAGGGAGAACGGAAGCTAAAATGCTCCATTGCTCTGCTAGAGTTGCCAGCGTCAGGCCAGGAAAGGTGTGCGCCCCCGCTCCATCTTTGCTGCGGAACGCGCCCGCGCTTACCCCACTATGGAGATCACGGTAGCCGCCACCACCAGGTAGTTGGTCTGGTAATAGAGCAAATTGCTGACCACCCTGTTGTTCCATTTGGAAATGTCTTTGAAATCCGGCAGGGCGAAGCGGTCGTGGCCCGGAATGAAGTCGTCCCAGGATCTCAGAGGAGCTACTTGCACGTCCATAATGCCTCTCCCATTCGGAATCCTGCAGCAGCTGCGGCGGCGGCGCGACGTCAGCAGGGCGGCCTTAAAGAAGGGCAACGCAGCAACCAGCTGACTGGAGTTGCATTTCTGGTTGACTGCAAAGCAGGAAGGGGGGAAAGGCAGCCGCGGGAGGGCGGATTTTATCTTTCACAAAAATCCCACTGTCTGCAAATTTAGTTCACACAATAGCTCCTTTTAAAAAGCTGAGGTCAGTAGCTGTCTCCTTGAACACCGTTGTAAGATCCTGCCAGATATCTATACGTATATATATATTGCAAGGTTGCTGGTTCACAGCGCAGTGCTATGCATGTCTACTTGCAATTTTAATAAGAATTTGTGCCTCCACTTGCTTTTCACTCCTCCCTTTCATTTCCACCCGCATTTTGTTTTTGGGAGTGTAAGCCTCCTGAGGATAGGGCTAGTTTACTCATAGGCTTTGGTAAGCGGCTCTGAGAGCATTTTTGGCTAAGGGATGGGGTATAATGCACTTTCTAGCTGCAATAAGGGTATACACACTTGCCTGAGAGTATGCCCCATTTAGATCAGTGTTTCTGAATAGGACTGCACTGCCACCAGTAAATTTTCCTCAAGGTCATGTACAAAATAACTATGTTTTCTCTGGAAATGAGGTCCAGGCACATATTTTTTTCTGATTTTAATCAACCTCTACAATTAAACTAGAGAAAGCAAAAAACACGCTCACATAATATGCTAAACACTAAGGAAACTCTTATTAGGAAATCAATGATCTAGTTGTTGCAACGTGACAACTAAGCCCATTGCACAATTAGGGGGACGGACGATTCAACATCCTGGAGTATTTAAATATTTTCACATGTTGCATTATTGTATTGAGCATGTCCTGCTCCTCATGCTCATGCAAATACCGGGTGCCCTCCAACTAAACCATGAATTTAATTGGGAACTTGGTCCATCTAGCTCACCACTACCTGCACCAGAGGTGGAGAAGACGACTTCGTTGAAGGGATCGCCGTCTGCAGAGAATGCAAAAAGGAATAATCGGGAGGGCACTAAGATGTCACGCAGTGTGACAGAAAAAGGTACCAAATTAAGAAAGCTTTTGGTTGCAAAGGGAGGGCTCGGAGGCAGAGGCGGCCACCAACCTAGAAGGCTTTCAAAGAGGATTAGGGAGATTCATGGAGAGGGCTGTCGGAGACCACGACCAAGTCGTGGAGGAAGGGGCTATCCGTAGCTCCTTATCCACCATCATAAAGGATATTTATGGTGTCTTATGTTGTGAACCGCCCTGAGATCTGTTTCTGGAGGGCGGTATAAAATGAGCGTGTACGTAAGGAATTAAATAACTATAGGGACGCAGCAGCACTCCTAAGCACCAGTTGCTGGAAAACCGCATGGTTGTGTGGAGGGATAGCAAAGGACGCTGCCCTTCCACAGACAACTTATTTATATCACTTTTATTTGTTCTCCTCCCCACAGGGAGCTCGAGGCGGCGTACATGGTTCTCCTGCCCGTTTCATCCTCACAACAACCCTGTGAGGCCGCTTAGGCCGAGGGCAGGCGACAGGCCCAAGGTCACACCCGGTGGGCTGCATGGCCGAGTAGGGGAATTGGAACCCACAGCCTAGTCCCGGCACTGGCTCAACCCACGGCGAGAACAGGAGCCTAGGCTGGGCGGTGAATTTGACGTCTGTGTCCGCGCGTGCGCGTGTTTTTAAAAGCGACCGGCCCTAACGGAAACCGGAAGCGAGGCCCCTCTGCCTCCTCCCCCCCTCCCCTCAGGAGAAGCTCGAATTGCCTCCGTCAGCGAGGACTAGTGGGAGCCCGGCTCGGAACTTCCGGCCGCGGTGCATTGTGGGCGAGCCGTTGGAGGGAGAGGACAGGAGGAGAGAGGCTCAGCTATGGCGGATGTTGAGGAGCCGTAAGTACCTGCCTCCTCCCCACCTCCCCACCCCCCACGCGCTTGGCTGCCTTCGCCGCCGCCGCTTCTTCCAGGGAGGGGGCTGGCGGGGAGCTGCGCCCCCTCAGCCTCTACCCTGTCCCCCTCCCCCCGCGCCCAAGTCGTGGCGGGAGCGCGCGAGCCCCGAGCCTGACCCGGTCGGCGACTGACCCTTCTTTTATTCTCTCTCTCTTTTATAGGGAGAAGAAAAGAAGGAGGCTAGAGGAGCGGCGGCTAGCGGGAGAGAGGCAGAGAGAGATGGGGTCAGTGCTGGGTTTAGGGGGCAGAGGATGGAGGGGGGGCCACTGAATTGGGAATGTGTGGCAGGCTCCCCCATATATAAGAAAAGCAAGTATGTGTGAATTATCAAAAGCACCTGCAGCCTGACTCTCTAGGCGCCTAGGTTCTTCCCTCAGGTGCTAATCTTCTGCCTCAAACCAGGGGTAGCCAGTGTGGGGCTGGCCAGATGTTGCTGGGCTACAGCTCTCATTATGACTGGCCATGTTGGCTGATGCTGATGGGAGCTGATCAGCATCGTACCCCACTTGAGGCTGCTCATGTGGCTTCATGTTGCTCTGCATGAATAGTGACTGTCTCCGCCTGCAGAAACCTAGCCTTTTCCCTGCTAGTTTTCCACATGCGGGACAGGTTTTTGTGTGTGTGCAGAGCAAGTGTTCAGTCAAGCGAGCCCACATCTGAGCAGTGAAATGAGGGCTATGCAGACTCAGCAGGTGTGGTGGAATCATATCTCTTGCAAAGATCAACTGGTCCATAATTGGAACTTGCACTAAGATGCATTTCAGTGTGGCAGATCCTTAAAGGGTTGCTGCAAGTCTTAACAGGGATTAGGGTCTCTTCAGAGATCAAAGAGATCATGAGTAATGCACATTTTGATGGGAAGTGCACAAGCCGCTTGGGTAATAATGTATTGCAAATTGCTGAACTGCTTACAGTGTATTGCATGAGTGAATGTTAATGGGAAATCCTTTGTAAAAATCAAGAGTTGTGCATATAAAAAGGCAAGCAAAACTAAAATATGACAGTAAAGAACGTGACTAGGAAATTATTCCATACAGTTGTTTGAAATGTAAAATCTGTAAGTTTGTAACCAGAGCTGCATAAATGAATTACTCTACCCAGTTTTGGGGAATTTCCCCCTTCCCAACAGAGCCCCAGATGTCACAGCCCATAATATTTCGTACTCCCTGATCTTTGTGGCTTTCTGGGAGAACAGAAGGGAAAGATCAGTTGTGCTAGAATGCCTTCTCTTAAGGCAACTTTGGATGTAACTCAAACCAATGTGGTGTCCTCTGGATTTTTTGGACGACTTCTTCAGTATCTGGAGGACATCAGGTTGGCTGCTGTAGGATATAATTTAATTCAGGCTTCCTCAACCTTGGCCCTCCAGATGTTTTTGGCTTACAACTCCCATGATCCCTAGCTAGCAGGACCAGTGGTCAGGGATGATGGGAATTGTAGTCTCAAAAGATCTGGAGGGCTGAGGTTGAGGAAGCCTGATTTAATTCATGCTTAGTTGAAGGTAAGGCTCATTGAACTCAGTGGACTTTAATTGCAAGAAGAAAGGTGTAGGAATGGGATGCAAATATGGTTGCACTACTTAGAAACACTAGCTATATAAAACTATAAACAGTATTGTAAACTGCAGTTTTGCACAATTGGCAGTTTTGTTATCTTGCTGAGATGTGACTTCAGACTACAGGGTATCATGTTTTATTTATTTTATTATACTCTGCCCTTAAACTGGTTTTCAGGAACAGGTTATATAGGAAATTAAAACTGCAGTAAAGCTAAATGTGCAATCCAGCCTCCCTTTTGCACCCGACAGACAGGAAGGATTGGATTTCCTCTGCCTGGCCCTACTGCTTCTGTCCACTGAAACAGCAGGCGAGTAGAAGTTCTACAGGCAGCCAGTAGTAGCAAGTAGAAAGCCCTGAAACAGCAAGGAGAAGGGACCAAGCTGGTCTGACATCTGTTTGATACTGAGCCAACCCCACTGCTGTCACATAATGGCATCTCTGCACCCACTCCAGGATGATGGTGTGCATGGGCAGGCCTGCTGATATGACAATAACTCCACCTCTCTATTACGCCCTACTGGGTAACAGCCATAGTTTGGATAGCGAAAAACACTAATACATCCCAAGATCAGTATACACACAAAATTAATATCTTGCAGTGCGCATCTAAACATTTAAATGGTTGAATTTTGGTATTTAAAGGGACTCAGGGATCTGTATAATGTGAAAGTAAAATTGTACATAGGATAGAAATTGAAACTGGATGTTATGTTGTATCAGGCAAAATTCAAAACATTTGCTAGCCAATTCACTGTTAACATGTAGTACTGTAAGTGACTTGCATGTCACTTTCCCTTTCAATTTGTTAAAAAGTGAGTTTTGTGTTTAAAATGTAGATAATTGCTTGTAACAAGCTACAGGGTTCCCAGAAATGAATTGCCAATGGATGTGTATCAGTTACTCATGTTGTTTCCTCTTTTATTGTCAGAAGTACGCTAGTCTTTCACATAAAAATATCCCATCAAAACATCAATTTAGTGAAACGCTTGATTTGCTTTTTGTGTTCTTATCCCTTAATCCAGGGGTGGGAATCCTGGGGCCCTCCACATGATACTGGACTCCCAACACTCTTCAACCACAGCTAGTATAGCTATTGGTCAGGAATGATGGGAGCCATAGTTCAGCAACTTGTGGAAGGCCATAGGTTAGCCACCCTTGCATTACATCTACTGCATATTCAGTAGATTGAGGCAGAAATAGCTGTCTGTTGTTAATTTTTGTTCTTTAAGAATACTAATAACACCTTATTTTAAAAAACCTGCTTGGCATACTGTTTTTCCAAGTAAAAGAAATCTGAATATTCAGTCTGTGCTTATAAATATATCTTCATAACTAATCACATATAGCAATTTAATTTTAAGAGTACATATATGTTTGTTTATTGTAAATAGATGTATTATTAATGGGTTGGATCAAAATCTAGGCATGCTTGGAGTAGACTCACTGGAAATAATGGGGCTTAAAATATGAGCAATTTAAGTCTCATTGTTTTCAGTGAGTCCTCTCTATGCATGACTTAGACACTAGACCCACTGTCTAGTAGCCAGCAGAGTCCCAAAATATTTCATTTATTTGCTCTGAACAAGATAAAATTGATAACACCTTGTGATATGTATAACCATACAAAAGGAAAGTCTAAGTTTGTAGAGATTGTGTGCGTGTGTGTGTTTATCCATTGGTTTTTTGCAGCTGAATTTCTATGTTCTGTGCAGAATGGCTGTTGATGGTGGGTGTGGGGACAATGGAGACTGGGAAGGTCGCTGGAACCATGTAAAGAAGTTCCTCGAGCGATCTGGACCTTTCACACACCCTGATTTCGAGCCAGGCACTCAAGTGAGAAACAGTTATTTTAAATACAAATGTTTGTAGTATTGTGTTGCTGTTGTGAACTGTTCTTTTGTTTGCATTTCATTAATAAAAAATGAACAAGACTGCAAACTTTTGCAGTTAACCAACTAATTTTCTGCATGACTGATGTGGTCTTGCATAAATTATAGTTCGGATGCTAAAAGTCATGTAGGGCACTTGAAGCTTTGATGTGTACAATAAGAAATTTGGCAGTTGGCTATAGTGGACACCATTCAGTATTGCACACGCAAACTTTCCTTCCTCTCCTCCCTTGTGCAGCTCCATGCACCCCTACATCTGTTCTAAAGGTTCCCCAGACATCTGGAGCAAATTTTGGATGTGTGCAAGGGGCTGCAGGAGGGAGGAGAAGGGGAAGTCCTGTCCTGCAACAGAAGTCCAGTTGATGGACAGACACCACTGGATTTCAACATGGGAACTATTTGAAGTAAAATTTGGTGAGATAATGATGAATTACCTATTTGTTTTTGGTTTGCCATATATACTTGTTTTAGATTTATGTCATATTTCCTAATTTTTATAACTGAATTTTAAAATATATGCAAAATAGACCTGATGCAGGGGTAATGCCACCCTGGTTCAGGGGATGGCAAGCAACTATGGGGCTGTGCACTTAACCCCCCCCCCTTGCATGCTTGCCTCTACCCAGGCATCATTCTTTGCACCTGACCTTTTTAGTTCTGGCTAAAAGTAATCCGGGAAATACTCCTGTATTCTTCTTGCAGTCCTGTGTTTGCTTATGTGGGAGTGAGACCCATAGAATTCCATGCAATCTCCAGTGGGATAGACATAGGTTAACATGTGCACATTGATTGGATGTTGTCTCTGCAGGTGGCAGCAGGCCAGCTGCAGGCAGTGTGTTTCCATAGTCAGATTACGAGTGCATAAAGACTTTCAACTGGCAGAAATATATATCTGTATAAACCATGTAGTTCAGTGCTGTGCCATTGCAATCTCTGTTCCTGTATACACTTTGAATTGATTTAAAACAAACAACACATGTCTTAACAAGCTTGAAATAACTTACGTGGCAATGCTGGTTTATCTGTACTAATCAAATTTAACTTGAATGGCAAAAGGCAAATTCTGATTTACAATGAACTATATTTTCACAATTTTGAAATATTTTACTGCATTACAATAAGTTCTATGATGATATTGGTTATTCTGTTTTCAACAACTGTTTGTCTGTCTTGGTTCTTTGCAGCCCCTTGACTTTCTCTTAAACACGTGTAAAGTTCTAGTTATTGGAGCAGGAGGATTAGGATGTGAACTCCTCAAAAATCTGGTAACAATTTCATTTTTATTTCTTCATAGCCTGTGCTGTTCACTGAGAAAATAATCATGTTGCCCAGCTTTTTGCTCTACACGCTGAGAAGTCAAAGCAGCTAGATTGTAGCAAGTTTGCATACACAAACTAAAGCAAATACAAAATCATACAGAATCAAATACTTGCTCAACACACAGTCAATTCAGTAATCTATAGATCTGCATAAACTTACAAAAAATGAAGTAATCATTTCAGAGATACTTCCAATATATTTGGAATACTGTACTGTGTACTTTTGCAAAGTTTTCTTTAGTTTTGCTGTAACTTGAGTCTGATGAAGAATAAATCCTGTCCAAAAACAAAGCCAACAAATTATTCTTATTAACAAGACAACAGGCAATAATGAGGATTTTTTAAAACCTGATTTGCCTCCTCAAGGCAGATATTAGATTCATTCATGATTCTGGAACATCTCCATTAGTATATGAGCACAATTATGTAGACTGTGCTTTAGCTGTTGTAATGGTAAGACAATTCCCAAAATGTACCCATAAACTTATAGGGTGACAGCCAATAGTGGTATCCCACTTGTGCAGCAGACTTTTGATTTTGTAAGTGGAATTTGCCTTTCCTCTGGATACCCTTCAAGGCATATAGGAGCTACAAGGAACTGCTGAGGATGGATGTCACCCATAAGCTTTAACCTTAGGGAGAGCTTTGAATACATTACCGCTATATCTTGTCATCTGCAGATATTTGGACTTAGAAGCATAATGAAAAGACAATATGACTGGGAAGAAATGGGGGACAAGTGGAAACCATAGTAACTTTACAGGGTTTGCTTTTAGAAGCTATATCTCTTCAGCACAAATGTGTCTCATAATGGCAGTTCAGAACCTGGTTATATGCCCAGTAATTAATTAAAATGTTCTGCTCTTTTGTGTGACACTACTTTTCTTCTTCTCTGAATTGCATGGTAGGTAATTAGACTAGAGATGACACGAGTCAGGATGCACAAGTGTCTTCCATTCTCTTGGATTATTTTTCTCTATCATGGGTCCCACTTTGCCTGTCTTCTGAGTTGGACAGTTTCTAAAATTAATTTTGGGATTGAAGCGTGTTCCCTTTGATGCAGTTTTCAGCTGATATACCCCCACACTCCTTAAAGGTTACTGATGAATATATGTGCATTGGTTAAAATACTGCACAAAAACGTAATCTTGCACAAAAGAACCAGTTAAATTAAGCAATCGTATCTTTCTTTTCTCACTGCGATATGATTATTGCACAGATGTACTGTGTACATTTGGTACCTTTTAAAGGAAAAGTAAAGATGCTGGCTGTTAACTGGTAATCTTCTTAAGAAGAAGAAAGTTTTGATCTCTTTGAAGAAAACAGTTGTACCCTACAAACGATATTGGCTAATTTGCAATTACCACATCTGAAGTCGAGTTAGAAAAGGGAGAATTTCATAAGCATCTCTAATTATCACATTTGCAAACAAGATACGTGACTACTGATATTCCCCCCCCAGTAAACTGTTTAAAACAACTTTTACTAGTCAGTATGTGCGAAGAATTTTCTTAGGGGTTTTTCTATAAAGAATAGCTCATGGTTATGCAATGGTGGCTGCTGGGCCTGTGTTGCATTAGGTTTACCTTCTATAGCGTATATATCATCCTATTTGTATGTATGTGTACACCCCCCCCCACTACCCTAAGTATGGACAACCTTAATGGTAGATTTGCAGCCCCTTCAAGTACTTCCATTTTTCAGAAGCAGTAAATATGTCCAAACATTTCTAATAGTGAAAAGATTCTGTTGGTTTTATTGTAACCCTGATCTCTTTATCTCTGCAGGCATTGTCTGGTTTTAGGCAGATTCATGTCATTGACATGGACACCATTGATGTATCTAACCTGAATAGGCAATTTTTGTTTCGGTAAGTCATACATTTCCTACTGAGAATAAACTGCAAACTCTGGCTCTCATTTTCAAGAAAGCTTCATTTATTTCAGTAAGATTTCCTTTAAAACCGAATTCAGGGAGTTGAATATTTTTCAAGAAACATGTATGCTGTGGCATTCCTAATAGTAAATTAACATTTCACTCTTACCCCACTAACTTTCCAAATAAAGTCTGCTTGTTCTAGTGCTAACTTACTACTGCTGTCACTTGCCTGCTTCTCTCCCTGCCTCTTCCCTCTGACTTACCACTATAGCATGTTTTTCCTTCAAAAGAAAAAAACAACACACACATTTCAACCTTGTGGTGATTTCAAATATGGGAGATAGCAAGAGAAACACTGTGGGGCTGTGTGTCAGGACTAGTCTCCCTTCTGTCAAATAGTTGTATCTGAGATGGAGCTTGTGAAAAAAGCCCCACTGCCGATTATATGGCATTTTTACAAATAAGAATCCACGATCTCAAGTGCCCCTTTCTGCACACCACATTCACATATGTGTGCTTTATTATTATTTTTTCACACCAGTTGCTTGTTCTGCATCAGAAGCCACTTCTGAATTTTCCATACCAGTGGGTGGAGATACCTTTGAAAAATGGGACCTGAGATCCTTGAGTTACTGTGTAGTCCTCTGAATCATGTCTTTCCTGCTTTAAACTAGCATTGCAACAGAGGTTGTAGTTAACCTCCCATGATTCTGTATAAGGCAAAATGGATCCTAACAGATTCAGTTTCCTAACAAATATTGTTTTTTGCAGACCTAAAGATGTTGGACGGCCAAAAGCAGAAGTTGCTGCTGAATTTCTAAACAGCCGAATTCCCAATTGTGCTGTTGTACCGTATCCTTTTATGAAGAAAAGGATTCAATTTATTCTCATGCCCACAGTCACCTGCATTCCCCCCCTCCTTTTTCGTGTGGCTTGCTTTAGTCCATAGATTAATCATTGAATAAAATAGTCTGATAGGTTTCTTCAGAAATATCAAAAGCATCAAATGTTTCCAGAGTTAGATAGCAGTCCCCTTGCCTTACTTTACCATCAAAACCATTTTGCAGTGTTAGTTGAAGTCCAATGATTTCCTACCCCTGCCACCCAACCGTCAACATGAATATGCATTGTGTGTTCTTTTCCTCTTTAAACTGGCTTCTGTAGACATGCTATCCTTCTGGGTGCATGTGTGGATTGTGTTTTATTTATATATTAGCTGGCATTTTCAATTTCTGCCTGAGAGACGATCAAACAATTAAAAACACAGTGGATATTGATGATCGTTTCAGTGATAATGTATGATAATGCTATCTTTGAAATCTGAGTTTATGTACAAAGTTGACCGTGAAACCTAAGACTACAAGTGTCTTAGCAGTAGATCTTTCTAAAATGCCCTCTGAGGATTCGGTGATACCAAAAGCCTCTTTTGCCTGTTCACAAATGTGAGCACATTGGAACCCCTTGAACTGGCCATGTTTCTAATGCAGTGCATAAAACTTACTACATTTTCAATTTAAATGCAGTTCCTACATTAGCTTGAGTATTCAGAAAATTGATCTGTTTACTCATCCACATCACCTACACTCGTGTGTACACAGATGCTGAGAGAGATGTATCAGGTATGGGATTCCCCCTGATTTTAGGCCTCATCTGTCCCAGCTTGGATGCAGTAATAACATCTTAAGTCTACAGAGAATTCAGAGCCATTGTGGGATGGGGAAAAGTTGCAGAAAAGTTGCCTGCTGGGTCAGACCAAAAAAGCCTATCTAGTTCAGTATCCTCTTTCCCACAGTGATCAATGAGATGGCTATGGAAAAGGCACAAGTGTGACATCAGTCCTCCTCTAGTGGTGTTGGAATAATCAGTAAACAGTCAGACAGGTTCATTAAAAAAAAAAAGGTGCCGTGGTCATGAGTCTAATTTTTAAACAACTCTTCAAGTTATTCTTAAAGAAACAATTTTGAGAAAGTTAGGAGCCATAGTAAGGCATTTTGTGTTGGACAGTGGCATGCATACCAAATTAGGCAAGGGCATTTGTGTTTTGGCCAAGGTAACTGCCACAAGAGAATTCCTTTACTGTATGTCTTTTCAGACATTACAAAAAAATTCAGGATCTAGACGACGCTTTCTATAGACGTAAGTAACTAAGTGTGCTATTGTGAAAATAATGATTTGTGGGTACCCCCCAATCAGTTAAAGAACATTACTATTTCCTTTAAAGGAAGGAGAAAATACAACAAACAGAATGCTCAACTAGCAAACTGTCTTTGTGTAGAAACAATAGAAAAATATGCTAACAATACTGAAAGCGAGGGAAGTATCAAGTGTGCATAACAATATTTATGTTTTCTTTCAGAATTTCATATAATTGTATGTGGCTTGGATTCAATAATTGCAAGAAGATGGATAAATGGCATGCTGGTAAATACCTAGGAAGTAAAGTTACTCAGTTGTTGCAAAATATAGGCACTATTAAGTCATGTACTGCTGAAACCCTCCCTGAATGTTGGACTTGTTTTGAGGCTAGAGGGAGGGTTGTGACTAATAGTGTCTGTGAAAATTGATTTTGCTTTTGCGGTATGTGCATTTGCAATATGTTGCTCTTCAACTTCATATTGGATGTGGTAAACAAAAGGGAGAACACTTGAAATGCAAAGCATGGCTCTCTGCAGCTGGAGCCTTTTAATAAAGCCCTGCTGCTTATGAAGGTCTCGTATTTCAGTTCCAGTTACAGATAGGTAGCCGTGTTGGTCTGCCATAGTCAAAACAAAAAAAATTCCTTCCAGTAGCACCTTAAAGACCAACTAAGTTAGTTCTTGGTATGAGCTTTCGTGTGCATGCACACTTCTTCAGATACATTCGTATTTCAGTTGTGACAGAAAGTTTCGTGGCTATCTGTGCCCTCAGGCTCCTGAAATATGCCCATAAATGAGTTGCGCAGAAATAATTTTGAGCTGATTTGGGAAGTTGAGGTACTTTAATGAGGACTGCCACCGCATTCCGCAGAACAAAAAAATGCAGGACAGTTAATGCAGCAGTTATTTCAGGCAACTCAGGTTCAGCAAGTCCTGTTAAATAATACCCTAAGGACTGTTCAGTTTGGATATTATGAAGGGTGAGGGTTGAGGTTAGAGGAAATGGACTTAATGCTCTTCTTTGCTCTCCTTAGATTTCACTTTTAAACCATGAAAATGGGGTGTTGGATCCAAGTTCCATTATACCTTTGATTGATGGAGGAACCGAAGGCTTTAAAGGAAATGCTCGCGTGATCATTCCTGGCATGACAGCTTGTATTGAATGTACACTTGAACTTTATCCACCACAGGTAACTAAATAGAACAAATACTTTATAGCCAGGCATGCCACTTCAACATTCATGTTGAAACACCTTATCCATTCTCTCTAGGTAAATTTTCCTATGTGTACAATTGCTTCAATGCCTCGGCTACCAGAACATTGCATTGAATATGTCAGGATACTGCAGTGGCCCAAGGAACAACCTTTTGGAGGTAATCAATAAACTACCGTTGAACCTTTGTCAAAACGGAAAGCTGAATAACATAATAATCCTGGCATATTTTATTTCACTTGTCTTGTGCAATTTGACTTAGGAGTCATGATTGAGTTCCTCTTACTTCTGGCTATTATTTTTTATGATTCTCTTATTTATGTTTTTTTTTAGAAATCACATTTTCATAATAAACCTATCCCTTTGCAAATTTCATAGTCACTTCTCTCTTTTTGAGACTCCACCCAAGCAAGTTATTATTTCAAAAATGGTATACAGTCATACCTCATGTTACGTTTGCTTCATGTTACGTTCTTTTAGGTTACGTCCTGTGGCAATCCGGAAGTAACGGAAAGGGTTACTTCCGGGTTTTGCCGCTAGCACATGCGCAGAAGTGCTAAACCGCGCTTCGTGCATGCGCACAAGCACCAAATCGCCCTGCACCTGCACAGATACGGCGCTTCAGGTTGCGCTCTTTTCATGTTGCAAGCGGGCCTCCGGAATGGATCCCGTTCGCAACCAGAGGTACTACTGTAATTTGCAGTTATGAAGAACCATTTCATTCTGAAGTTGTAAAAATCATACTTCTTTTTTCTTTTTTTGCAGAAGGTGTTGCTTTAGATGGAGATGATCCTGAGCACATACAGTGGATTTTTGAAAAGTCTTTAGAAAGGGCAGCACAGTTTAATATTAAAGGTCTTTCCTACAGGCTCACACAAGGTAAGATACAGCAGAAGCCATCTGTTCAGTGGGTCCTTTTTGGTCTTTGGGAAACCGTAATGATAAGCATACATGTCTAGCTTTAGTCTGCACTATTCTGTGTTGGTTGAGGTAGTGACCATACTACTACAAAATACTGTAGATACTTTCCTTGAATTATGTTTCCAACTGTTAAAAGTAGAAATAACATAAAAGTTTGTGATGCTTCTTCTCTCAATGCAGGGGTTGTAAAGCGGATCATTCCAGCTGTAGCTTCTACAAATGCTGTCATCGCAGGTACAGTAATGCAATTCTTAAAAAATTGTTTCCAATTACATCTGTAAGAATAGTATTGGAGATCTAAGCTGAAAACCATGTCTTCCTGTTCTTCTCCTTATGTATTTAGGCTGAATGTAATGAACTAGCTTAAATATACAAGGGGGGCGGGACTTGACAGAGCAATCCTATGGATATCTTCCCAGCAGTAAGTCTAATTAAGGACAGTTATACTGTCTCCCTAGTAAATATATATAAGATTGCAGCCTATGAGTGCAGCACTTGGAAAAATTATTAGTAAATCACATTGAAATAACCAGTGTATTTACTTCAAATAAGCTTTAAATTAAACTGCTAGAAGGAAATTTGGCACACCTGTCTAGCAATATTTCTAAGGTTCTGAATCTTTAGGAAGGCACTTGAGGTGGGAGTTATAGGTAAGTCAGAATCTGGCAATAAAGGGTTTAATATTCTGACTGCATTTAATTCCATGTAGTAATTCTAGATTTGCTTCAGATAATTACATTTCACCATATACTTTAGCTTCTAGGAGATTTGAACGCAAAACCTGCTGATTCTTTTCCTTGTTCCATAAGTAAAATGTTTGATCCGTACTTTCCTCTAATTTTCAAGTAATTTTAGTTGTTTGTCTCTTTCTTTCTCTAGCTGTATGTGCCACTGAAGTCTTTAAATTAGCCACAAGGTAACGTGTTTCTGAATTAAAATATTTTTAGGACACTTGTTGCTTATGAATGCTAACAGATTTTTCATTACAGTGCATACATGCCTCTGAACAACTATTTAGTATTCAATGATGTAGATGGACTGTACACATACACGTTTGAAGCCGAAAAGAAGGTCAGTATTGCTACATAATTTTTTATTAACGTGTTTGTTATTGAGTGCTTGGGTCATAATGGAACTTCTCTCGCCAAAAATATAAAACTAATACTTTGTAAACTAAGCCCAACCATCTGACTATTGAGCTCCCATGCTCACTCAAGTTGCTGGTGGTAGATACAACCTTGTTCATGGTGTTCAGGTTTCACATACCTTAGGAAGCATTTACTCCTTATGAAATTCCTGGCTATTATGGTACATGGGAGAAACCCTGCTCCATGCATATGCTTAGAAAATAAAACCTGGACTTCCTTGATAGTAGGACTTCTTCAACTGTAGAGCACAGTCCTTGAAAGAGGCCCACCAGACCCTTGTTTTAAGGACATACATTTTTAAAAAGCATTTATGAGTTAACCTGAAAAAAAGAGAGACTTCAGCAAGTGTTTGTCATCTTTATGAAATCAACATGCAAGGGAGGAGACTAGGTACAATTGCACTAGTTCCATCACTGTCTCTGCAAGTTGGAAGACTACAGTTTCCACAAATCTATGTGGTAGAACAGGCTCCCACTGCAGACATTTTCATTCAATTTCATAGAAAAGAGTGGAGATGATAATGTGTGGACTGGGCAAGGAGCTACATTTTCCATCCTCATGCTTTCCCCTCACTTCTTGATTTAATGCAGATGACCACCTGAGGATGAATTTTAATTGGGAAATTGGATTTGTGTGTGGGACTTTATTTTTTGTATGTTATTTATTATTTGTATTTCTTGAAGGAAAAAAAGAGGACGGATGTTTTTGTAATAAATAAAGCTAGTTTATTTTGTCATTTGAACACCCCTCCCCTCCCATTTGTCGCTTCCCTGCTATTCGAAGCAAAGTACTTGAGTAGAATCATTCTATTGCTGAATGATGACTTCACACCTCGCCTGTCAAACAATAACTATTAATATATTAATATATTTTTTGGTCTGAACCTGATGCACTAGCACTGATTCTTGATTTATTCCACGTATACTATTAGATTTTTTAAAAAAATATATTTAGGATGTCAGTTCTTTCTTTTAAAGAAAACTTACATTTGAATGAACTCAAAGGGCAAACACCACCACTCCTTTTTTGAAAGGGAGACTTGAATTCAGGGATAAGCCACTATTATTTTTTTTTACTACAGAAGGAATGTTTAAATCATTGAACTACTAGGCATTTCATATTTGATGACATAACTCAGTAATATTGCAGAAATGTCTTAAATTTTCATATTCATCTTTTTAAAAACTGCACTAAACACTGCAGGCCAGTACCTACTAACCTTAATGAAAGCATACATTTTCATTTGCAAATAATTCCTTGTATACTTTAGATGAGATTTTGATAACTTGAATGAAGTGACAGTGATTAATTTACATTTTAAACCATATTGACTATTTCATTTGCTGCTTTGTAGGAGAACTGTCTGGCTTGCAGTCAGCTCCCTCAAAACATAGAATTTTCTCCGTCAGCTAAACTTCAAGAAGTCTTGGATTATTTGACAAATAGTGCTTCATTGTAAGTATTAAATTAATATGGTATGATCTATGGGTAGTATTCAACATTAGTCCTACTCAGAGTAGACCCGCTGGCATTAATGGGCATGACTAACTTAGGCTCATTAATTTCATAGTGTCTATTCTGAGTTGGACTTGGATTAATACAACCCCATATCTTGCTGAAAACACATTGATACTTGTTTCTAAAAAATATTACTGGTTGTTTCTTTTGCACAGACAAATGAAATCTCCTGCAATAACAGCCACCATGTATGGAAAAAATAAAACCCTTTATATACAGGTGACTAATACATACTTATAATTTATTTATTTATTTATTTATTTATTTGTGTGTGTGTGTATTTTTTAAGCAAAAAATAACACTGTTTATGTCCTCTTTTTCCCAGTCAGTAGCTTCTATTGAAGAACGAACAAGACCGAACCTTTCAAAGACTTTAAAAGGTATTATAAACCTTGAAATAGTGCTTACGGGATATAAAGCTTAATGAAGCAAATTTACTTTCAACGTCAGGTGTATGTTGATACAGTATATAGGAGGTGGGCGGAAACTTGAGTTAATAGTTCCCCAAAAGTTTCTTCCATGCATAGTTAAGTTTCAAGGGACAAAAGCAAAGACTTTGAGATGTGCAACTCTTAAAATCTGTGCATAAAGGTGCTGATTCCTGCCTCCCTACCCTAGTTTTCATGAAAATAAGAAACAAAGATTATTCTTTCTTTCAATGCTAGCTGATTGTTCTTTTGAGTAAAGCTGTAATATAACTTCCATTCTAACCATAAGAACCAATGGAAACAAACATACTACTCAGAGTCCAAAATGCTGTTGGGTGTGCAGAATAATTTGTTCATTTCTTTGGACACTGGTCCAAACTGATAGCTGTAATGTTTTCACACCAATACCTGGGCAATTGTTTTCCTAAAAGCAAAATAATCATTTTTACTATTTTGTCTCATAACAGAAAATGTTTTATTTCCTAATGTTCTGAGTTGCACATTTTCCATACATGCATAGAAGTGACTGAAACGCTGTGCTTATAACTTTTTCTTGATACAGAGCTTGGACTTGTTGATGGCCAAGAACTTGCAGTTGCAGATGTCACTACACCACAGACTGTGCTCTTCAAACTTCATTTTACTACTTGATATAAATGCAAGTGTTGTAAACATGCACTGAAAAAAATCTTGCACACCTTGTAGAACTACCATTGTGCACTAAGAGGAGGGAAGATGAAACAGCCAGACCTTATCCCTGTTAATACAAGCATTGATGGAAGTTAGTTTATCCAGGATAAATTGCTCTTATTTTAGAACTGTCTTTGCAAACCAATATTTGGTTGATGTTATCTGTATAAAAGCTCACTCATGTACAGAAATCTGATGTGTATAGCAAGCAATAACTTTTTCAATTTGTAATCACTCTAAAAAATGTCAATACCCCTTTGTGCATGTGGAAATGTCATGATGGTCAATGCAATAGTTCTTGAAGCACCTATGAAGTCTCTGAATGTACATAAATAACAAAGATTTTAAATTACATTTTAGTATCTATGTAACAGTTCTTAGACTGAGGCATTGGGCTGGCTAAACCAAAGTTTAGTATTACAAGAATGAGCATGGGTGAGCCTCAGGTTTGTGCTCCCGTTTCTTCTTTAGTTCAGCTCCAAGGAAGAGTTCAAAAGCTTTTGTTTCTGTTTGAGATGAATCACAATTTACTGTGCTCTCCAAAAGCCGAAAAATTGCATTTATCTGAAATATGGTTAGTGGAAAGCCATAGTTTATGAAGCTGACAAATTTTCATTTACCATAGCTACAATTAACGACTTTTTTGGATTCAGATGTACTAAACTAATCTAAAACAAAAGCAGAAAGCTCTGATCACTTACACACCCCAGAGAAAAGAGAGAACACAAGCTTGAGGTTTGCTGTGCTTTGTATTCTATTGCTAAGCCATGGTTTTGCATTACTTGTGAAGTGGACTTATCAGACCGGGGGAAATATATATACATGCCAATTCTTTATTTAATATGTCTTTAAGAAACTGTCAGATATTAAGGATTGCCAAAAGTTAATGTATTTTTTTTCAAAATTCGGAAATATTGTTCTTAAATCACCACCTGTTGATAAAAATTAAATACTTCATTTGTATATTTGCAAGTATTAGCGGCTACTATGCATGGTGTTGCCCACTAATATTCAGGGTTGATGTTAGGATATTTATTAATAAAAAATTATATAAACATACATGTTTGTGAGACATAAAGTATCTGTTGTAAGCACAACTACAAAAAGTGTCAAATTTTTTAAAAACTACCAAAGTCCTCCCTAAATATAATAAGATGAAAAAATATTTTTTAATAATTCCAGTGGCACGTTGAAAATCAACCAAATGTAAGCTTTCAAGGTATGAGCTATTGTGTGTGCGTGTGTGTGTCAAGGATTTAGCACACAGATATTACATGCATTCAGATTTACCTAGGCCTAAGCTCCAAGGGACGCGGGTGGTGCTGTGGGTTAAACCACAGAGCCTAGGGCTTGCCGATCAGAAGGTCGGCGGTTTGAATCCCCACGACGGGGTGAGCTCCCGTTGCTCGATCCCAGCTCCTGCCAACCTAGCAGTTCAAAAGCACATCAAAGTGCAAGTAGATAAATAGGTACTGCTCCGGCAGGAAGGCTGCTCTGGTTTGCCAGAAAGCAGCTTAGTCATGCTAGCCACATGACCCGGAAGCTGTACGCCGGCTCCCTCGGCCAATAAAGCGAGATGAGCGCCGCAACCCCAGAGTCGGTCACATCTGGACCTAATGGTCAGGGGTGCCTTTACCTTTAAGCTCCATAGAAGTTTACTGAGAAGCAAGCCCCATTAACATGTATTAAAGCTTGTACCCTTGCCTCCCCCCCCCAGATATAATTCTCAATTCTTCAAGGCCAACAATGTTCCCAAACCACCACCACTTCTGAGTACTAAATCACATGCAGAAAATTTGGCTGAAAGTCAAAAGACTTCACTGTTTTACATCTTCTGTCAAGGAAGTGTTACACAAGGGGTCTACTCTTTAATGTCTCAGCAGCTGCACTTTTCTGGGCTGAAAGGTTCGGTTTTAAATTGTAAGTCAACCGAAATTCTGGAATTATTGTGGCTGGATAACGTGTAAACGGGTCTCTTTCCAGAACATAATTTAGGATTAATTCAAATAAGGCTTCGGGGGAAATGTTCATAACATATTGGCCCGTTTCTGTTTTGCCCTCTTGAAAGCGACCCGTTTGGCTTTTCCGCAGCGCGATTTCCTGCAGGAAATGTTAAAAGAGGGCAGGGTGCAATAAGCAGCGACCGACGCCAAATCACTTTTAAAATACCTATTAAATAAGGCATATTTTATGAGCTTCGTTCAGAGCTACGAGGAGCCAATGGGAAGCGACAATTACGTATTAGGGGCGGGGAAACCAGGTTCCTCGCCCGTCGCTACGACGACGTTGGCGGCGCGACGTCACCAGGAAGAGGGGGCCGCGCCCCATAATGACTGACGCTCCGGGGAAGCTATGGCAACGCAGGCCCGGCGTCACGTGAGCGAGGGCGCCGGCTTGTTTTGCTACGTGGAAGGCGGAAGGGCTTTGGCGCATGCGCAGGCTGGGTGGGGGGGAGCGTGCCGTCGGCGTTCCTGCCTGGCGAGCTGCCTTATCCGGGTTCCCCGTCGCTTCTCTCATGGCGGTCGGTGTCCTGCGGGGCTTCGGCTGCAGCAGCTGCGGCTAGAGGAAGGGGGAGCGGGAGGGAGGAGGAAAGGGAGCAGGCAGGTCGTTAGCCGTGGCGGGGGCCGGAGCAGCCACGGCGTCGGGCGGCGTCGGCGATGAGTTGGTTCAACGCCTCTCAGCTCTCGACCTTCGCCAAGCAGGCTCTGTCTCAGGCGCAGAAGTCCATCGACCGGGTGCTGGACATCCAGGCCGAGGAGGAGGAGGAGGAAGGCGGCGAAGCGGCCCAGGGCGGAAGCGCCCCGTCCCGACCGCGAGAGGCGGGTAGGTGGAGCCGCGGGGAGGACTCGCCTCAGACCCTTCAGGCGAGGCGGGCGGCTGAGGGAATCGCCGACTACCCCCCCACTCGTCCGCAGCCGCCCGTGGTTGTGGTCAAGCGAGGAGGGTCTCTGCACCGGCCCTGACTGGCGTGGCCAGCCCTTTTCCTCGCCCCGGGGGTTATTTGGTTTTATTTTCTCCTCCACCCCGCTCCCAAACCACCCTCCGGCAGCGGTTCTCAACCTGTGGGTCCCCAGATATTGTTGGACTGCAGCTCCCAACACCCCTGACCACTGGTCATGTTGGCAAAGAATGATGGGAGTTGTAGTCCAACAACATCTGGGGACCCACAGATTGAGAAATATTGCCTGGTGCCTTTCAGAGGCTTTGGCTAAGATATTGGGGGGGGGGCAGGAATTATTGGGTTGTGTATTTGTGTGTGTGTGTGTGTAGGTTATATTGTGATTTTATGTTGTGAACTGCCCTGAGATGATCTGGTACAAATAATCAGTGCTCCCCCCCCCAAAAAAAAATGTTTAGGGGTACTCTCATTTTGACTCAAGAAAGTCACCATGTTATAGTTCAAATTGGGAAAAATAAATACAGTAAATGGACAAAAGTACAAAGATTCACAAAATGTTTAGGGGTATGCGTACCACCAGAAAAAAGCACTGCAAATTATTATTATTATTATTGCCCTCCAGTGCATGTTCGCTTTTTTGAGTAAGCTCCACAAGATTGCAATGGCACTTTCTGCATAAGCGTGAGTAGGACGGTGTTGCAAGTTGTCCTCCATAAAACAATATTTGCAGTTTTTCCAATATGCCTGCATATGCATATAATCTATAAATTTCCCTTTGTAAGTAACAGACATAGCAGCTGCCTAAAATAAAAAAATACGACCTCACATTGTTGCATCTATACATACCCATCCTCTCAGTCTTAGTTCCACTCTCCCACTTCTCTCTTGACCTGATAATTGCCTCATTCAGTTTTCTTTTGATACATTTATTTTTATTTTTACAGTGGTGCCTCGCAAGGAAATCCGTTCCGCGAGTCTCTTCGTCTTGCGGTTTTTTCCGTCTTGCGAAGCAAGCCCATTAGCGGATTAGCGGGCTGCGGATCAGCTGATAAGCGGCTTAGCGGGCTTAGCGGATCAGCTGATAAGCGGCTTAGCGGATCAGCTGTTAAGCGGCTTAGAGGCTTAGCGGATCAGCTGATAAGCGGCTTAGCGGCTTGGGAAAAGGGGGGGAGGGGAAAAAAACCCTGCAGGAACTCGCAAGACATTTTCGTCTTGCGAAGCAAGCCCATAGGAAATTCGTTTTGTCTAGCGGGTTTTCCGTCTTGCGAGGCATTCGTCTTGCGGGGCACCACTGTATTTTTAAAAAACTCCTCTTTCTTAGTTACATGCTTCCATTCCTTCCTTCGCATAACTTCAAGTTATGAAGTTGTTTCTTGTCCTGGCCCACCTCAAGGGATCAGGGCAATAGGGCAAATAACAACACAGACGGTTGTTGTCTTGTTGGGCTGTGTATGTGATAAAGGGGAGCCTTGTGTCAGTTTAAGTTTATTGGTTAGTTTTTCTAATACTGTAAGGCTGTTTCCCATACACATACATCAAGTAGAATAGAAACATTGCCACCCAATCCCACTCACCATGCCCCCCTCCACCTCTTCCTTCCTTCCTAATGTAACACTAATGTCTCAACAAAGGGAACTGATTCGTAGAAAATGTAACTTGAAAAAAGAGACATTGCACATACTTTTGTAAATGAAGAAATCTTTAATTAAAAATATATTTAAAAACAAACAGACGGTTGTTCTGTATTTGCATTGTGGTATAATTGGCCCTGTTCATGCCTGCGTTGGTCTTATCTTCTACTTAAGATCGTACTCTGTGTTATTAACTTCAGTATAGCCATTATCTTGTACAGTAACTAGTCTCAGGGGGGCTTTGGAAATGTTTTTCTCAAACAGCGGCTTCCATACCACATGGCAAAGCTTGAAATGGGTTAAACTATTGACTGTCTATGGTACTGAAAAGCTAATGAAAAACCCTACTAATTTTAATCAGATATTGATTAAATTTAACGTTGTGATCTTTAGAATGAAAACTTTATAATTACATTCTGGTTTGCCCCCCTTCCCACAGGGACATCTGGGACCCTTTCTTCAACTCACAAGCCCAGCATGTTGTACCACTGTTGCTTCCTTAGTGTATCTGTACTAATTTCTTGGCTCCTAACTAGGCAGTAGTTGCTATCAGCCACCCCCATTTGCATCTCCCAAGTAACATTTGGCAAAATAAATAACTGACGTGTCATTGTTTCTAGCATTTCCCACTCTTGTTTGTTCCTTGCTGCTTACATGAGGGTGATCATTAAGCATGAAGGCTTTTCATGCATTTTATTTTACTGGCAGGGTGTATGAGAATGTGAGATGGCAGTAGTCACAGGTATCCTATAAATGGTAGCAAGGCCTTCAGTTTCGTTTTTCTTTTGCATATTTTACCTGACACTGTCACATGTTCCTTTCCAAAAGCATAATACTATGCTCTCAATGAGCATGTAGTTACCCTTCAGCTGCCCACCATGCCAGACTTCCACACATCATCTCCTGCTTAGAGTCTCTATGGTATAGAGTCTCCAGGTATTTTGGACTATAACTCCTATCAGCCTTGACCATTGGCATGCTGGCTGGGGATGACAGGGACTTCTCAAAAACATCTGGAGGGCACCAGGTTGGGGGTGGCTGGTGTATGATTTCTGAAAAAAAGGGTCATTGACATCATTTCTGCACTGTTCACTGTTATGTTAGTCTGAAATCAAGGGTGTTTTTGTCTGTGGCTTATTTATAAAATATTTCAAATAATAATCAGCCACCTTTTAGAACGAAGACCTCACAAGAAGGTTTCTGTCACATAATATAGAATCATAATATGTAATAATAATATAAAAAGGAACGTGCCTTTCTCTGGCAGTCCATTCTATTGCACTGTTTATGTTCTCTCAGGGTGTTTTACACAATCCTTTTACTAGCCCTTATTCTGGGTGATAAAGAGTTATTGTGCCTGTTTCAGTATGTTTGTGCATGGTGTTGCCACTTTAGCAATTGTTGGTCTTGGATTCATGTTATCAGTTCTTACTCTTTCCTCCCCCTTCCTCACACTCTTATTTACACACTTCCTGATGTATTTACTTTAGAATTTGACTTGTGTTCTGTTTCCTCCTTGCGTCATTTTTTCCTGTTGATTATCTGAAAAGCCTTTCATTTCAACACTTACTCTAGGTAAAGGCATCCATGTAGATACAGATGCCGACCTAGGCCCCTTTGGGAGAAAGGGCAGGATATGAATCTAATAAATAAAAGGATGGCTAAAATCCAGAGCACCACATGGCTAATTTTGTGCACTCAGCAGGGCTCTTTTACAAAGGTTTTTTGATGCAACTTAAGGGAGGACACTGGAGAATAGCTGTTTAATTAAAAAACAACTCAAAAAGTGCTGCTTGGTTGTAATCTCTATCTTTTTAGCATATTGGGTGATCAAATGTAAACCTTTGCCCAGACTTACTGAACACCACACAACTTACTCTTGTTTGCATTAATCCCACAGTTGAGATTCATACATTTCAGGAATATTATCCAACATATACAGTGGGGGGGGAGCCCTGTTGTACACCCTATATCTGCACTAGAGCTTCCTGTGGTCAGGTGTGGGTACATTTTGCTCATGCAACACCAAAAAAAGTATTGGTGCCAAGTATGAGCATGCTGTTGTATGAAAACAGCATACAACTTTAGCTGTCAGCTATCAAGAAATCAGTGTGGTTTTGTTTATAGTGCCGAATTTTGAGCCATATCTAAATCATGACAGGTTATTCACTGGGGGAGATTGTGTCCAACCCCAAGGAACCATTCTTCATTGTGTGGAAACACAATGTTGGATAAGTAGGTCATAGCAGCACCAAAGATGCTTCAGGAAAGGAAGTAATATCAATGTGTGTTTATGCAGAAAAAAGTGAAATTGGGGCTAACAACACCTTAATATTTGTGAAGTCTGTACAATGCACTTAACTTCTAAAATTTGGTTTTTCCTTTTCCTCTCATTGTTTTAGGAACAACTTCTCTTACGAGTGGAGGATGGGATACTTCTACCTGGGGAGCTAATGCAGATACAGAATCTCAAAGTCAGCCAATATCATCTCCTACAGCCATCACCAAGCCTGTTAGGAGGACTGTGGTAGATGAATCAGAAAACTTCTTCAGTGCCTTTCTCCCATTAACGGATGTTCAGAGCATACAGCAAAGTCCAGTGGTGTCTAAGCCACCCACCAAATCGCAGCGACCCAAAGAAGAAGTAAAAAGCACACTAGAAGAATCTCTGCATGCTGACCTGCCAGAAACAGAAGGAAAAGATTTCTCTGTAATTTCACCTGTGGAACTGGAAAACTTCAGTAGTTCCCAGGAGAAGTTAGAAGAAGGTAATTCAGTACTTGATATTGATGGCAAGCATAATGAAGATGAGCGTGAGGAAAACAACACTAAAGGCGCTGATCAAGAAGCATCTGCTCAGAATCTCAAGGTAGCAGAAGCCACTGCTATTGTGAAAGCAAGTTCAGGAAGTGAAGAACCTGGTCATATGCCTGACATCTCCACACAACCTCTGCCTGCAGAGACAAAGAGTATAGGTTTGGAAACTAAAGAGCGAAAAAGTGAGGATCGGCAAAGCAATACACCTTCACCTCCAATTAGCACGTTCTCCTCAGGGACCTCGACAACTAGTGATATTGAAGTTTTGGACCACGAAAGTGTGATAAGTGAAAGTTCTGTAAGCTCAAGGCAAGAGGCTGCTGATTCGAAAGCTAGTCTTCACCTGATGCAAACGTCTTTTCAGCTTTTATCAGCATCTGCTTGCACAGAATATAATCGCCTTGATGACTTTCAAAAATTGACTGAGAGTTGCTGCTCCTCTGATGCTTTTGAAAGGATAGACTCATTCAGCATGCAGTCTTTAGACAGTCGGAGTGTGAGTGAAATAAATTCAGACGATGAATTGTCGGGTAGGGGATGTGTTTCGGCATCTGTAACCCTCAGCCCTTCAACACTAAAATCTGAAGAGCCTGAACCTATAAAAAGCAAGTCTGACCAAATCTTAAGTGAAATTATTGCACTACCCACAGAAGAAACAGAAATGGAGGAAAGTGGGCGAAGTGCGACCCCTGTTAACTCAGAGCAGCCAGACGTCTTGGCTGTTTCTGTGCAAACTGATGGACAGACTCAGAAAGAGGAGGTGGCAGTACATTGGCCCAGTGCTGAAAAGCTGTCAAGTGTAGAGTGTGAAAAAGAAGAGCTTTGCAAGGTAACCCCAGAACTGTCATCATATACATCTTTCTGCTGCCCTGTTGATATGGTTATTCCCTTTTTATGTTTGGGAGAAGAGGTGCAGTAAGATTGTTCAGTCAGATTGCTGAAGGCAGCACGGTTGCAGGCCTCTTTCATTTTTTGATGTCATGAAATTATCCTTTAAATAATAGTAGTAATAATAATTTATACCCCGCCTGTTATGTGTGCCGGTGTGGTTGCTCGAGAGCAATCAGGCAAGACTCCCTGTTGGTCTTTTCAAGGCTTTATTATCTGTCCAAAACGTTCACAGTGCAGATCGCCTCAATTCCATGTCTGCTCAGTCGCTATCAGAATCTGGGAGTGGGCGGTCCTTAAACTTTCCTGAGCAGAGCAGTTTTTTAACCCCCATCCTATGCCTCCCCTCTGTGCGTAAGCCTTCTGCGCAGAGAGGGCATGAGCAAAAGGGGACCTGCTCCCCCCCCCCCCCGCTTTGCTCAGGTTCGGTGTTGCGGCTCTCCCTTGCATCTTCTGAGCCCTGTATCCCTTCCCCACTGGAGGCGTGGCTTCGCTCCTCCCTGGAGGACGAGCTGCTTCTCAAGATCTTTGGCAGCTCCCTGTAACCCAACTGCCCTTCCACCTCCCGCCTCTGAGCTGATGGCAGTTCCTTGACACCGCCCATCTGGCTGGCTCCCAACAGGATTAAAAGCACAATAAAATATCAAACATTAAAAACTACCCTAAACAGGGTTGCCTTCAGATGTCTTCTAAAAGTCAGATAGTTGTTTATTTCTTTCACATCTGATGGGAGGGGGTTCCATAGGGCGAGTTCCACTACTGAGAAGGCCCTTTGCCTGGTTCCCTGTAACCTCACTTCTTGCAGGAAGGGAACTGCCAGATGACCCTCGGAGCTGGGTCTCAGTGTCCAGGCTGAATGATGGGGGTGGAGATGCTCTTTCAGGTATACTGGGCCAAGGCCGTTTAGGGCTTTAAAGGTAGAGCTTGCTGATTGTGTGCATTTTTGTATATATCTGGTTACTCTAGTATGTATACAGTGTTTGGGAGGCTGAGGAGATGTGCATAAGGATAAATGATGCATGAGTATTTTTCTAGTAAATCAAACAATTGGGATCCTGTGAATTAAATTGTAACAATCATAAATGGTACAATAGCTTCAGTTTCTTTCAAGTGCATTTAAAATTGAAGAGGAATAATCTGTCCAGCAAAACATTTCCTTTAGAAATCAATATGGATCAATAGCCAGTGATCTTTGTCCACTTTCCACAACAGAAATCTTATCGTTCAGTGGGGTTTCTCCTTCCTCTGCTACCCCACAGCCACTCCTACTGCACTCCCCCCCCCAAAAAAAAATCTACTCCACCTGAGTTTCCTACATAATTTATTTTTATTACATTTATCTCCAAAGAGCTCAAGATAATATGCATGGTCCTCTTCTGCATTCTGTTCTCACAGCAACCTTCCCTGTGAGGTAGTTTAGGCTGAGAGAGTTAGGAATTTGAACCTCAGTCTCTCCAGACCTTGTCCGGCACTCAACCACAATCCATCACCACATCTCTATGTACCATATTCAGTTGATTGTATCTTAACAGATCAGAACTTAAAATGAATTAGGACTGTGTGGGAAAGACTAAAAAGAGGCACAGCATATATGACGTAAAATGTCTTTTGTTGCTTAAGAAAATACTTGAGTGGAACTTTGGGCATTGCTTCTACGATGTTGCCCAAAGAGATCTATCTTTCAGCCATCTTACCATATTACCAATCTTCTCACTTCTGTGTCTTGAATCTTCTTCAGATTATTGATTCACTGACGGAAAAACTGGAAATGAGGGAAACTCGCCTGTTAAGTGTTAGTAAAGAGAAGGCACGCCTAGAAGAAGCTTGTGATAATCTTAATGAGTAAGTTTCAAATGACAACATTCATCCTATGGCTCTTCACATCATGTGAAAACACTGTGAACCATTTTTTTGTTTGATAAATGCATTTGGTTGGCCTTTTGTATAAAGTAGCTTTTGTGTAATTTAAGCTAAATGGATTGTAGCAACCCATTTAAAAACTTGAAAGGGGTTGCTAGATGTCAGTGACTGTATGGAACTGAATTGAATTAGTTTTAATTGCTGATTAAGTAATGTAGCCACAAGGTGATTTTAATAAAGCCCCATATTTTTCCCATGAGCTGCCTCAATAAGCATGATTCTAGGGCAGGCTTCCTCAAACTCTGCCCTCCAGATGTTTTGAGACTACAATTCCCATCATCCCTGATCACTGGGTCCTGCTAGCTAGGGATCATGGGAGTTGTAGGCCAAAAACATATGGAGGGCCGAGTTTGAGGAAGCCTGTTCTAGGGGCTTGATAAGGGCTGGACTCCAAAGTCATATAAGAAAAGCATGATGGGGAAAAGCTTGGTTATGTGAGGTCATGGTTATACATTGTTGCATGAATGGAGCTCCTCAGATGCTAGTACGTTGTTAAGTGCTTTTGGGGTGGGTAGAGGAATACTGGAAAGCAAAACAGATTCCTGTGATGTCCATTGGTCTATTTATTCAGATAAAAAGTTGAAGGATTGAATTAGAGAAGTAATTCCTCCTTGCTTTTCTTGTTGCCTTGACCCCTCTCAGGAGAAAGAGGGTTTGCAGGTGTGAGTGAGAGGGTGTACATTTGTATGAATAAATTCTGCTTCCCATTTGAAATGTCATGCGCAGTCATAACGATGCAAATGTTTTATGTTTAGTGAAATCATCAAGATGAAAGAAGAGAACAGTAGCATTTCATCTCTTAAAGAGGAGTTTGCTCAGCGAATAGCAGATGCAGAGAAAAAGGTTCAGCTAGCATGCAAAGAGAGAGATACAGCAAAAAAGGTAACACTCCTATGTATGAATTATATTTTATTTTTATATAGTGTTACTTTTGGATTGCTATGAATCAAACCATAAGGTCTGGTCTTGTAAATTTGTAAGGAATCAATACAGATTTTGCAAGGAAAAATGCCTGTCACTAATGTGTAACATTTTAAACCAGAAAGTTTTTTGGGTGGGGTCATGTTACATGTCCAAAGCTATATTCTCAGCTATCAGATCTCCTTAGAGCCTTTGATTTCACATAAAAGCAGTACTTAAAGATAAGTATAAAGGTAATGTGACGGGGAAGGATGACAGCGGCTGATCTTGTAATTTAAAAAATGTATTAGCTTTTAGACTAGCTTCATGCTAAAAATCATGAGATACACAGATTGTTAACGATTAACAGCTATGATTGTCATAATGAGGTAGGCCCCACCTACTGTGAAGTAACAAATATTAAAAGTCACAGTCAAAATGTATAAATGGTACAATAATTATTTGTGTTTCTTCTTTAGGAAGTAAAGATTCTCAAAGAAGATCTAGCAACTAGATTGAACAGTAATGAAACCGCTGAAATACTAAAGGAGAAAGATGAACAAATTAAAGGATTAATGGAGGAAGGTGAGTATTAGTTTCTTAAAAACAGTTCCTGGGAAACTAGCTACATATGTTACTTCAAATGCTTGGTCACTTTAAATTTATTCTATAAGAAATACTTTTTGACCACAGCCCTTGCTGGCAAGGGAAGAATAGATTCCCTCTTCAAACTTATTTTTTCAACAAGCAATTTAGGGTGTGAAAATTTTAATGGCTTATGAAAGGGTAAAGCTAGGTGTGTGTAGCCCTCCAAAAAGGTGGAATATCAAGGCTTTAGCCCTGAGTTACACAAACCAGTTGATGTGCATCTTAGACCTTGACAGCTGCTTCTGAGATACAGTCCTACCTTGGTTCCTGAACAGAATCCGTTCCGGAAGTCCATTCGACTTCTGAAAACTAAGGTGCAGCTTCCGATTGGCTGCCGGAGCTTCCTGCACTCAATTGGTAGCCGCCTCGGACATTCGGGTTCCAAAAAACGTTTGCAAACCGGAACACTCACTTCCGGATTGCAGCGTTCGGGAGCCAAAACGTTTGAGTCACAAGGCGTTCAAGAACCAAGGTACAACTGTACAATGTTAACCCTAGGCTCAGTTGCAACTAAATTTTTCTATCATGTTGTTTCTACAAGAGTAATGTTAAAAGGAGAAGCAAGCTTCAATCGTATATTCAGAGAACAAGTCTGTATCGTTGCCCACTTGAGGCTGTCCTAGCCTAGTGAGACAAACATGACCAGGAAGGGGCAACGGTGAACCTCTGGTTCAGCAGCCCATTCCCCCTACCCTCCTCCTTTGTGGGTGGGAGGACTTCAGCAATGTTTAGTTTCAGTTTCATAACAAGCCAGACTCAGACCATGGTTTAAGAAGATGACTTCTTTAAATGAACCATAGAGTTAAGTTACAATCACTGGTCTGGATGACATAATGTGCTAGAATTCAGGGAAACTCAGAAGTGAATGCCAAAGTCTTCCTGGCTTCATGTCTAGGTAAATCATGGTTTAGCGTGATGTGTGAATGCTGCTTATGTGTGCTTTAGAGCATTTGTGGTAGCTTTGGATCCTGCCCATTTTTATTTTTATTTTACACAAGCTTTGGTACACTACACCTGTTATATTTTCATAGGCTCCAAGTTGGCTTCTGTGAAATGGGGGACATAGGCTTTAAATCTGATCCATTAGGGCTCTTAATGTGTTTTCTGACTATCAGATTAGACAGCAAACACCTCTGCGGATACTGTTGGATTTTTCTTTGCTCATAATGTTTATTAGGCAAAGGAATAAACAGAGATGCCTGCAAATCTTTGGATAAAAACTTTTAGTATCGCTTATGAATATATATTAAAAAATAAAAACATTGTTCAGTAGCACCTTAGAGACCAACTAAGTTTGTTCTTGGTATAAGCTTTTGTGTGCATGTACACTTCTTCAGAAACTATTAGATAGATAGATAGATAGATAGATAGATAGATAGATAGATTCTTTATTGTCATTACACAAGTGCAACATTGCACAAGTGCAACGAAATTGGATGCCATCCCTTAAAAACAACAAAAGCAAAACAACAACAACAACCAAACAAACCACCTTCCAGCCACACCCACACCCACACCCATCAAACTCCCAGGTCTCCTTATCGAGTTACAGCATTCAAAAAGGCCACAGCTCTTGGATAGAAACTGTTTTTCAGTCTATTTGTCCTTGACTTGATGTTTCTATACCTCCAGGTGCTACTGGACAATTTTTTATTTTTTTTATATATTTCGGCTTCGTCAGACCAACACGGCTACCTACCTGAATTTATAAATATATGTTACTTCAAGATTGATGCATAGGGTTTGGGTCTTTAGTCTTACCTGATTATATGTATTCCAATTCACATGCCAGGGAAATTATGTACATGCTTCAGGTCATTTTTATGATTATAGTCTTCATTGGTGATTAAGTTAGTTTACATGCCCATTCAAAGCCCATTTGTCCAAATAATTGGAGGTTAAAGAATCAGAATGTGAAGAGTCATAGTCCTATGTTAAATATGCATTTATCCCCGTTCACCAGATCTATCTTTCTTTCCAGGAGAAAAGCTTTCAAAACAACAGTTGCAAAATTCTAACATCATTAAGAAGCTAAGGGCAAAGGAAAAGGAAAGAGAAAAAACAAATACAAAGCAAAATAAAAAGATTACGGAATTAGAAGAAGAGTTACAGCATTTGAAACAGGTTGGGTAAATTTTTAGACATGGCCTTGGAACAGTCTGCATGCCTTTTATCTATGTGTCAATTCACTTATTATTATTTTTTAAAATGTGTAACCTGCCTCTTAAGAATCAAGCAGGCTTACAACAGGATTTTTTTTTAACCTAGTAAAATATAAAGCCATAGTGCTCAAAGAGCAAAATAGCTCTGAATCTTATTGTGAAAGCCTTGCCACAGCCTTGTGGTCAAAGCTCTGCTTCTTGCAGCAGATGTATTCAGCTTATGTAGTGAGGGCACATGGAGTTGGGACTGTTCCATAGAGCATAGTTTACCATGCTCTTCCCTCATGGGAAGAAGCAGTATTGGGTATATAAAGAAATCTCTCTTTAAGGGTGAGAACCAGCCCCCTTGAATTGTGCCTGGAGGAAAACTGATAGCTGTTGCTGGTTTTATTGCTCCTTCTATCTGCTCTTTTAGTTATTCAGTGGTTTCATTTTCCTTCTTTGCATTCTTGGAAGCTTCAACTGAAAGGCTGCTTAAAATTTTTTTTAAATGAATAAATAGAACCAGTTGAATGTGTACTATGAAGAGGCAGAAATTTTGCATTAGTTGAAGCTTTTTTGACAATGGTTGCTAATTACGATGGCTAAGGCAGCGTGCATCTGAATAACAGTTGCTGAGGTCATGAGTAGGTGAGTGCTATCACACTCGAGGTCTGAAGTGGGCTTCATATGGACATCCGCTTGGCCAATGAGAGAACAGAATTCCCAACTAGATGGGCCTTTTGCCTGATCTAACAAGGTTCTTATGACAATAAACACACATGAAAATGTCATGGGACTGTATCCAATTTTAGCTTTCCACTAGTGAAAGCACCACTGCTAGTACAAGGCAGGGCCACCATTTTCATCAATCTTCCTCTCACTAACTACAGCCCTCTGTGTCATATCACACACTGTTCCAGAGGGCCCCCAAGCCTCAGAAGACACTTTTGGGGTGCACAGAAGGCTGCACTGAGTAAGAGCGGTCAGCAAAACACAGGAGTCCTGCCTTGCACAAACAGAGGTTCTTGTATTATTGCAAAGCCACTACTGAATACAACCCATGGACCAGAAATAGACTGATTCATCCATTCTTAACTGCAGCGCGCAGTTTGGTAGCAAAGTCCACTAACTTCAACACTGTCACTGCAAATGTGTGCCCATTTCAGATGCCAAAAAAGTGAATGTAAAGGCACAGAGACACACAATCAGGTTTAACCTTCTTTGTTAGTGTAATGATATTTTCTGTAAAACTTTCTGTGAAGCTTCTGAATGATTTTCCTTCATTGCTTATATTTTTCCTTAGTCTAGCTTTCGATAAAGGTAGCAGCTGTTTTCTGTGCAGAGTGATTTTTAAAGCTCTGTAAAGAGAAGTTAAGCAATAGGTTGTGATGCCTTTTCATTGTAACAGGTGTTGGATGGCAAAGAAGAAGTTGAAAAGCAGCACAGGGAGAGCATCAAGCAGCTAAGCAGTGTGGTTGAACGGCAAGAGAAGGATATTACCAGACTCCAGACGGATCTTGAGGATCTTGAAGAGAAGAACCGAAGTGTGCAGGCAGCTCTTGATAGTGCATACAAGTAAGGCAATGTCCATAAAAATGGACAAGAACAGATATTTGTTGTGCCTAGAAGACAACATTCTCTTTTAGGTTCCCCCAGTGTTTGCAATACTGTGCATTTTGTTTTCCTGATGGATTTTAAAATACATAAATATAGGATGGTGTTCAACTAAGTTTTACTCAAGAATAGACTTATTACAATGAATGGACTTAGTCATGTCCATCAATTTCACTGCATGTTGTTGTTGTTTAGTCGTGTCCGACTCTTTGTGACCCCATGGACCAGAGCACACCAGGCACTCCTGTCTTCCACTGCCTCCTGCAGTTTGGTCAAACTCATGCTGGTAGCTTCGAGAACACTGTCCAACCATCTCATCCTCTGTCGTCCCCTTCTCCTTGTGCCCTCCATCTTTCCCAACATCAGAGTCTTTTCCAGGGAGTCTTCTCTTCTCATGAGGTGGCCAAAGTATTGAAGCCTCAGCTTCAGGATCTGTCCTTCCAGTGAGCACTCAGGGCTGATTTCCTTAAGAATGGATAGGTTTGATCTTCTTGCAGTCCATGGGACTCTCAAGAGTCTCCTCCAGCACCAGAATTCAAAAGCATCAATTCTTTGGCGATCAGCCTTCTTTATGGTCCAGCTTTCACTTCCATACATTCAATGCATACCTATGTTTAAAATACATATTTTTCACAGGGAACTTGCAGATCTTCATAGAGCCAATGCTGCGAAAGACTGTGAGGCTCAAGAAGCAGCATTAAGCCATGAACTGAAAGTGAAGGAGCAGCTGGGCTTAGCGCTAGAGAAGGCCCAAGAGGAGGCTCGCCAGCAACAAGAGGCTTTAGCAATTCAGGTCAGTGTTGGGTACAACTAAAGTTTGCAAGTGTTTTTCTTTTGCTAGTTGTATATGTTGTAATGCTTTCATGTCATAGCAGTGCAGCCTGAAAACCACATTGTAAGTTATTCCCAGAAAAATCTAATTCAACATGTACTTGGCATAATTACAAGTCGGAGTGAATGAAGCACTCACTCTTTAAAATTACATAGAAAGCCACTGAAATGCTGCAAATCTTAAGGGGACATTAAAAGGGTATTAGCTTACTTCTCATTTATCATTACTAGGGCACTAGATTTGAAGTACGTTTTTTTCCGCTCTATAAGACTCTATAGTCTTTAGAGCTCTATAGTTTTTAGAGGAGAAAACAAGACAAAATATTATTCTGAATCAAATGTTGTTGAAAAGTTTTTTTTGCGGCTGTCCCTGAAGCCAGAACAGCAAGGGGGTTTGCTGCACAGCTCTCCCTCTTGCTGTTCTGGCTTCAGTGATAGCTGCGCAGCCTGCATTCGCTCCATAAGATGCACACACATTTCCCCTTACTTTTAGGAGGGGGAAAGTGCGTCTTATAGAGGGGAAAATACGGTATTTGAAACAGGATGCACTTGCTTTTTGTGCTGCAGCTACAGCATAGTGGTAAAGTAATGATGATAACTCCTTAAGCAAACTAATGGTGTTCTGGGTATGATAGTCAGAATTATAGGAGGTGCCAACTGGTGTTGATACATGATAAAAGGCCCGTGGAGTGTTAGATCTGCATATTCAATTCGGCATACTGTATTTGTATCCCTGTGTTGCAGGTGACAGACTTGAGAGTGGCCCTGCAACGTGCAGAACAACAAACGGGTAGAAAGGAGGATTATTTGCGCCAGGAAATTAGTGAACTTCAGCAGGTACTCTGGCAGATTGTTCTCTGAGATCTGTCTCTTTTTGCCTCTTACAAATGCTAGGAAAAAATTGTTTGCTAATTCACGAACAGTTGATTGTTGATCCTCCTTCCAGTGATCCATAACAGAAAATTTTAAAAGGGAGCACATGGCTACTTTTAATTTGGGCAGAGAATTAGAAACAGGCATGCTCTACTGAACATTCAAGATTTATCAATCAGTTTGGACTTTTTGGATTTCCAGTTTCAATAACAAGCAGTGTGTGACTACTGTATTTAGCAAAGCAACAAATATTTCCATGGTTTGGACTTGTGCAGAGGCTTGATAGTCTTGCCAGTGGCCAGCAGGTGGGGCTCAGTCCCATAGATAACATTAACGAAAACTTTTCAGTAAACGGAGGACGTGGCACAATACTGTATTTGCCTGAATAGGGATAAAGCTTCAGATGGTTCTGTTCATGGTATTTTAGGGCTTAAAGTAGTGCTTACCCAATTTATAATTTCAGAGACTTCAGGAAGCAGAGACTCGCAACCAGGAGCTGAGTCAAAGTGTTACATCTGCTACAAGGCCCCTGCTCCGACAGATAGAAAACCTGCAAGCAACCTTGGGAGCACAGACCTTGTCATGGGAGAAGTTAGAGAAGAATCTCTCTGATAGGCTTGGTAAGGCAAAAGTTGTTGGTCAGTGGGATTTTTTGCGGGGGAGGGGATGAGTCTCAAGAACTTCCATGCATAGCACAAAATTAATAGATATGAATGGGAACTCATGATTATGCAGGCACGCACACACAGAGAGAGAATAGGCGATACAGGCATGTATCTGGAATATGTGTTCTGATGGTGTGTCTAACGATTTGGCAGGGATCCACAGAAGCCTATGTGTGACCAGAAAACACTAAAGCACAGTTCCATGTGGTTCTGATTTTGCTTCTCTGGTTACAGCTTCTTCTGCTCCCAACCCAAGTGGGTGGAAAACTAGCCTGACTAGGTACCATTGATCTCGTGTGCAGGCTCAGTTTATTCCTCACCCCCTCCTCAATCTTCCTTAGAAGGGGAAAACAACCTAGGCAGTGATCCAGCCGGTGTCTAAAAGGAACCATCTCTGCCTTAAATCCATAGTCCTTTGCATGTGACATACCTAAGAGCCATGTTCGATATATACATGCATTTAATGTGATAATAGCTTTGGGGGAGAGGTCATAAAGTTACCAAAAGCTACACTCCCCTCCTAAGAACACAAGAAGAGCCTGATGGGTCAGACTAATGGCCTATATAGTCCAGCATTCTCACAGTGGCCAACCAGAAGCCTGTTGGAAAGCAGCAAGCAGAACATGAGCACAAGAACGTTCTCCCCTCCTGTGGTTTCTAGCAACTAGTATTCGGAAGCATTGCTGTCTCCAGCTGTGGAGGCAGAGCATAGCCATCCATCATGGCTAGTATCCACTGATACCCCTCTCCTCCATAAATTTGTAAATTCTAACTAGTAATGTTCTCTTACTGTTAGGGGAATCTCAGACTGCCTTGGCAGCACAGGCTGAAAGAGAACGCGCTGCTACAGAGGAACTTCTTGCCAATAAAATCCAGCTTTCTTCCACCGAGTCCCAAAATAGCCTCCTAAGGCAAGAAAATACCCGCCTTCAAGCACAGCTCGAGACAGAGAAAGCCAGGCTTAAGAAACTAGAAAATGAAAACAATCGGTAAATTGCTTCTAAAGTTTACAACAATTTCTCTGAAAGCGTACAACATGGTTGAAATAGCTAGGTGGGGTGTAATGAACAATGCTGCTTTAAAAATTTAAGACTTCTTTAACTCTATAGTTTATTCTATTTTTTGTGCCACTTGTATGGCCGCTCAGTAATACTGTTTTCTTAGCGTCTCAGATGCTTTCAGGACACATGCATTCTATTGGGAGCATTTTTCCTAATGCCTTAGAAAGCAGAAAAAGTGACAACGTATACTGCAGGCATGAGAAACCTGTGGCTTGCCGGATGTTCTTGGACTTGCAGCTGCCATTAGCCGCAGCCAGATTGACCTGTTTTCCATTTTGCAACTTCTATATAATCTTGACTGCCAGATACAATACAGTGATATCTCGGTATTTGAACAAAATCCATTCCAAAAGCCCATTCGGTTTCCAAAACGTTCAAAAACCGAGGCGCGGCTTCCCATTGGTTACAAGAGCTTCTTGCACTCAGTGAAAGCTGTGTTGCACGTTTGGGTTCCGAAAAACGTTTGAAAATGGAAGCATTTACTTCTGGGTTTTTGGTGTTCGAGAACCAAAACATATGAGAACAGAGGAGTTCGGGAACTGAGGTTCCACTGTAGTAAATCTCTCATGCTACTTCAGTACATTTATTTCATTTCATTTTATTTTTGTTTCATATTTATTTTCATTTCATTTATTCAAGTTTTTTTTAATTGAAATTAGTACAAACAAAGCTATATAATAAAAATAGTAGAAGTACAAAAACAGTATGTTTATAATAAGATCCCTCCTCCTATTTACTGAGATTGTACATGTGTTTTCTTGCTCTTGGCGCAGGTATGAAGTTGAGCTGGAAAACCTTAAAGAAGAGTATGTGAAAACTGTTGGAGAGGCAAAGAAAGAAAAGGTTTTGATATATTCTTTGATAATAACATTGCTTTCGCAAATAAGATTTCTCAGTGAATAACTACATCTTTTTTTGTTTTCTGAAGACGCTGTTAGCTACTCAGCTGGAAATGGAGAAAATGAAAGTTGAGCAGGAAAAGAAGAAAGCCATTTTTGTACAAGAAACTGCAAGAGAAAAGGTGCTTGTTCATGTTAACCACTTTCCATAGTTCTTGGAGACGAAGCAAGCTTTAAATGAGCACACAAAGCAGTTGTCAGGCAAGATGGTAGCTTTCTGGGATCTTCATTTCTGTGTTCCACTCTTGATAGTGCCATACACTATATACAATATAAATTCTGGTTTAGTTGTCTGTAATAACAACACAACTGTTGTTGTTATTATTTGTATACCACCCTGCACCCAAAGATCCCAGGGTGGTTCACAATAGAAATTGCCATGACAGTGGGCCACAACCTCTTATTTTGTGGGCCTTATACTTCCTTCTGGGACCTTAAGTCACACTGCCCTTAAGTCACACTGAGAGCCAGTGTGGTGTAGTGGTTAAGAGCAGTGGACTCGTAATCAGGTGAACCGGGTTCGCGTCTCCGCTCCTCCACATGCAGCTGCTGGGTGACTTTGGGCTAGTCACACTTCTTTGAAGTCTTTCAGCCCCACTCACCTCACAGAGTGTTTGTTGTGGGGGAGGAAGGGAAAGGAGAATGTTAGCCGCTTTGAGACTCCTTAAGGGGAGTGATAAAGTGGGATATCAAATCCAAACTCTTCTTCTTCTTCTGCCCTGAACCTTCTCTTTCCCTTGGGTTTCCCATTGGCCTTCAATCCTGAGAATATTCCCTCATTTTAGTTCGCTCTTGGACACCTTTGGGGATGCTCCATTTGTTTGTACTTCACTTGAGGATACTGAAGAAGTCTTTATGTTACATATACAATGTAAATTCCTACACTGACAAAAAATAGCAAGCATGCTGCTCTTTCATCAGCAGTGTGTCCGATGCTAACATGACATTAGGGTTTCATTCTGCTCTGTGTGATTACTAAATGAAGTTACTTTGCTTCAAATAATCAGCAAGTTCTGTAGATGATGTGACTTTGGAAGCTGAAGGGGCAGAGTAAGCAGTGCTATCAAGTCCATTTTGTTGCTTAATTTATTGAAGTTACAAGTGAATTGCCTAACAGGAGATCTTGTGTTTGTCATGTTTTCGTCATCATCTTAGCGAGTATTTCAAAGTAGGTAAATTCTTTGCACTAATATTGCTCTTCTCTTTGGGTATTGTACATTTTCTCTTAGGAGCGTAAATTATACACTTCATCAACAATGGAAACTGTCTCAAGCACTCCAACTCTGTCACGCTCAAGCTCAATAAGTGGGGTTGATATGGCAGGGCTCCAGGCATCCTTTGTATCCCAGGTATTGTTCCATGTATCATTTGACCTTTATTTGCTCCTTCAGTGTCTTTTTTTATTAATATAATTGTTCTGTATTAATTGTTTTCTTGAATCCAGCAAAACCTCACTGCTAAAATGAGAGCAGGTAGTTTGAAGTAGTTTCACCAGTTCATGTGACGCTATAGGGCAACACATAGAAGGTTAAAATATATGCTGGTAATTAGAAAATGAACTTGCTTCTCTCCCTTTGTGGTACATTTTGGCTCTCATGAGGAAATTCCACTTTGGATGAAACCTGACGAGAGCTTAACTGACAGGTTTTGGATATAGCCTTTTATCAGTATCAGAAGGTGAAATGATTTAAATGTGGTATTTTCTTTCCAGAACATTACTTCTACAAACCACTGAATATATATATTTGCTAACAAAAATTGCAAAGACCATTTTTAAAATATCTACATGAAATGCTTTCCAAACAGTTCAGACCTCACAGCAACCCAGTGATGGTGATTAGGATGCTAAATATTGAATGGCCAGGGGTTATCACATGAACTTCATGGCTGAGCAGGGTTTCGAATCCACTTCTTAATCCACCATACCAAACTGGCTGTCTTCACTTGTTTTTGCAAGCACTGTTTAAACATAAAAAAGTTAACATTCTAGTGTCAATCTTGAAAGTTGTATCATTCTTTAGGTACAAAATAATAACTTGCATGCTGTTAAGTATTCAATTCCATGGGTGTATCACAATTTTTATTGCAGGATGACCAACATGATCATTCCTTTGGTTCAGCGTCTACAAGTGGGAACAATCTATACGATGCAATGAGAATGGGAGCAGGCTCAAGCATTATTGAAAACCTGCAGTCACAATTAAAATTGCGAGAGGGCGAGATTTCTCACCTACAGGTAACCTGTGTTGACCTGTGTGTCTAAACATAAGTAGGAATAGGTGTTCCATATGTGCGATGTACATACTTGATAGACAGATGTGACCAGTTCATTTTTATGGGCTTGTTTTGCCAGAGTTCAGTCTTCGGCCTAATACATCCAGTATTGTCAGTCCACTGGGGGATCCCCCCAGAGCAAATTCTATAGGGTTCCCCAACCTCCCAAAAAATTGGGGGCATACCAGGGATAGCAACAGGATGAGAGGAGCCTGGAAAAGTCTTGTGTGAACACAGACACTTTGATCGCTGTTGAACAAATTATAGAAACATTTTAGTGGGCAGTTTCAACATGTGGAGCGGTGAGAAAGTGCAGTGTTTCTCTCCATCTGCTGTAATACTGCAGTAATTTGTAGGAAGTAACTACTGTAAGCAGTTAGCTACCATAATAGGTGTTCTTAAGTTCTTCCATTTTTCAGGCTCATGAGCTGCTGTAATACCTTCTAGTTAGCAGAGGGAGCAACAGACTTTCAATTCTCTTATTTTGTCCTCTGAATCCAAATGCTTGTATATTAATGCTACATCAGAACAAGAGATGGAACTTCGTAATTTATTGTAGGCACACAATAAATGTATATGCCACAGTTATAATTTGAAACCTTGTGTCGGTTTTGCTTTGTAGGAATGGTTTACCTGAATCCCTTCATTTTATTTATTTATTCAAACGAATATATTTATTTATTTTATTTTATACTTCATGCTCAAAGTGGCTGACAACAAAGAAACGGGGTGCGTTTCAAACACACACTACAAAACCAGTTTCACAATAATGTAGCAAAACAGCAACATAGCAACCATTTCATAACAACGTAACAAAACAAGAGCAAGAATAATAACACAAAAAATACAAAATGGTATAAAATAAAGCAACATGCAGCATCCAATGGCAAAAATAACAAGTGAGCTTCACAGTTTTACCTTAGCCCTAGAAACATCTGTTCCATGATGTTGCTCACAGTCCCTCTTCTGCAGCAGCTTCTTATAAGGCTTTCAAGGGCAAGGGGTGGGGTAGCTGGAAACACCACTTTCATGCATTATTCCTGTGAATACCAGAATACTCGTAATATGGGACATAAGCTTGCAAGCTTAACACTCCTGGTTACTTTTAATGGAAACAGAATTAGTAACTTGGTAGAATTTTAACTGTCAAATGTTTGTTACCTTAGCTGGAAATCGGAAATCTTGAAAGAACTCGGTCGGTAATGGCAGAAGAGCTGGTAAAGCTGACAAATCAAAATGATGACTTAGAAGAAAAAGTAAAGGAGATTCCCAAGCTACGTGCACAGCTAAGGGTAGGTAGCTTGTTTCTACGATGATATCTGAAATGTATTCAGCAGCCTCTGTAAATATGTCCCTGCTGTACATGTAAAGTGAAATGCTTTATTACAAAGTACAGCAAAAAGCAGTGCTTGCATTCCTAAACGTACTAATAAATAATTTTCACTTCTGAATAAACCAGGTTAGGAACCTGCAGCTAATGCAAAATGCAGTTTCTAGGATCCTTAATGGGACATGCAACTTTGCACATATTACACCAGTGTTGATTTTGACCTAAAAAGGCTTATGTGACTCAGGATCCGAATACCCCGCAATGATCTTTTGAGGCCCTTCTCTATGTGCCTTAATGAAGGAGGGTGGCAATGCATGAATTGGCCTTTTTCGTGGCTTCCCATCTGCAGAATGCTCTCCCTGGTGTCGTCATTAACAGCTTTGGACACCAGGCTAAGGCTATCCTGTTTTACCAGGTTTTGGGTGGTTAATTTTGGATCAGACCTTTGTATGATTCTTGCCTCTTTTGTAGTACTCATCTTTTAGTGGGCTGGACTTTGATAGTACTGCTGGATGAACTTAGGGGAGCAGGTGAATGAACACTTCAATAAATTTTGTTTGCTTTATTTTGCTTCTTGCTAAAACTGATTTTAGCTGTTTCTGTATTTTATGTTCTTGAAAGTTGCCTTGAGACTTTTTTTGTGTTTGTGAAGCGGCGAATAAATGCAGTAATTGTGTGTGGTTGCTATTGTTTTGGCTACATAAAGATTGGCATTCAGAGTATTGACTTTTCTTTTAGTATATTCTATCTTGACATTCTAAAAGGTGTCTTAACAGCTCTTTTGTAAATGTGGAGAGCAAGTCATCAACTATTGGGCTGTGTTGTTTCAGGATTTGGATCAGAGGTACAATACCATTCTCCAGATGTATGGTGAGAAAGCAGAGGAAGCAGAAGAACTGAGGTTGGACCTTGAAGATGTGAAAAATATGTACAAGACTCAGATTGATGAACTTCTAAAACAAAGGCATAGTTAATTATTGCTGATGTTGCAGCTTGCAAACGACGTTGCATTAAACTGTAGAAATGTTTATGTAAATGCAGATGAGTTGTAAAGAATTTGTACTATAGGATGATTATACTGTAGAGGGTTCGTACGTTGGCAAGAATGTTATGCTTTTGTGATGGCCAACTGTCAGCAATTAAATTATTTGTTAATATTTAAATTTTTATATCCATAGCTGAATGTTAATTAAAAGGCAGACCATCTTGTTGTCAATATAGTAAGTTGCAAATTAGTTTGCATAATGTTGATCATTCAGCAGCAGGAGCTTTTTAATTGCAGTTGCCTCATGGGGATGTAGCTGAATAATTTCACTGACAGTTTTTCATGGATATCCTAATGCTGATTCATTTCTATCAAAATTAATATTTGGCGGAAAAAATATATTGATTTTTAAAATATAAATACCGATAGCAAATAATTGCTACCTGAAACCCTGAAACACAAGGCTTAGAATGCCTTTTAAGACTTTTTTTAAAACAACAAAAACCACCAATTAATATTTGGATTTATACTGTAGTGTCCTAACCACAAAGCCAGATAACTGCCTTTGCAGCCAACAATACAGGGTGACATTTAAAGTCTCAAAATCGGTATTGTATGGTAATAGCAACCAAGCTCTCTCCTATACAATAGATAACAATTATACTGTTTCTTAAATGTTTGGCTGCATTCCAAAGCATAATCCACTGCCACATAGAAGTGGGCTGCCTAGCAGCTTTAATGGCTTTTAACTGTAGCAAAAGAAAAGAAGCAACATTTGCCTAAAAATCAGTAGTACTCTGGGGGATGAAAAGGAGCAGGGTGTTTAAAAGTTTACATGTTGAAATGGTTGCACCTCTTCCTGTCATAGCCTAATTCTCACCATGTGTGTGAGTGCACTTTATTTTCAAAAGTGAATAAACTTGTTCCAGATGTTTCAAATGAACTCCAGTAGTTTAGAAACTATCTTTAGAAGGTGTTTGACAGAACATAAAAAAAAGGAATAGCATCTTGAGTTGCCTTCCCAACTATTTAGCCTAAGCGAGACAGAAAACTCCCTGGTATCGTCCACATTCATAGGAGGACCTTTGCATTATTGTGCTTTCTTAAAGTCATACTTTGTATGACAGCTATAAAGGGCCATTTCTGTTAAACTGACCTTAAGCTGTTTAAATGTTTAGGAAAAAATGTGGCATTGCTGCATTTATTTAGGATTTAAAAAGGTTTCCTCACAGGAATTGAAATTTTCATAGCTGAATTTACATGAAATTTTTAGTCGGATAAATAGATAAAATTTATGCATCCTGTCATGTTGGTATACAAGACATATTTTCCTGAACTAATTATCTACAGAGCTTTCATCAAGCATAAGGTGCGTGGAAATTCTAAGATTTTATTCGATACTTTGACATTGTATCAACCACTTACCCTTAATTGCTTACCTTTGGTCCATGTCTATTTGGAAATCATGTGCTGTAACCTCCTGAGATCATACCACCATGTAATAGGAAGTGGGAGTCTTATACTGTTGGTCTGCCTGAGGAAAGCTAGTGTGTCAGGGAGAGAGCTACTACTGTAGGCTTTTCCCTGACATATTAGGATTCTTCCTGATCCACTAATTTTCCGTGTGCAGGATTTCTTTTACTGTTACTTGGCGGAACATTTAATGAAGCAGTTCCTCACCTATATTCTGAACTGCTACATTATCAGGAGGATTGTATCACTTTAATCTAATGATGGATATTTAAAGCATGCAATAATCTTCCTGATAAGAGACTAAACTACAGTCTAGTGGGAGAATTCTTTGATTCAAAAAGAGGTTTGCATAATAGTTGATACTTACACAAAACAAGCAAATGATGGCTGCTGACAGCAGAACTTACCAAGTGTTGTTTTCCAAGAAGGCACTGCATATTAGTACTTAAAGCCAATGCAAAATACAAATTGGAATGCTCCTGAAAACTCAGTTTAAGACCTGAGAAACTTAAGTGCATGCTACTTTCATAATTTATATTTGGAATAAATTATCTCTGCATTTGAACTGGAGAATACAACCCCTGACTAGAACTTAGGTGTTTGCACTGGGACCTTGCACCCAAAATTTTGCATCTTTTAGACCCCTTACCGACATGCTGCCTCTTCATGTTTAATACAAGTATTGGTTATGTAGCCCATGTTCCACCATAAAACCTACAGACTTCCTTGTTCCTTTGCAGCCATTTATCAATTTACCAATTGATGACAATTGGAAAGTGGGGAAAAAATACTTTTTGCAAGTGAGGTCTGTGAAATTTAGGCTCTCAAACTCTTGAAACTCATATGCAGTTTTCAAAAGCACCCAGACACTGGACATTTGTTTGCTCAGGACTTCTGGAAGCGCACCAGTATATTCTCCCTCCCTAATCTGCCGACGTGCAAAAACTCTCTAAGCAGACGTGTGTGACTGTATTCATGTAAGTGAGAGCACTAGGCTTCACAATGTTGGTGTGGAAAGCAATACTGCAAGAGATAATTCCCTAGTGGACTGCAGAAGGAGACTTTGGTTTCTCAATGCATTGCTAGGCCCTCTTAATACTTTTTGGGAGTAAGTTAAGATCTCTAGTTAATAATTGGAAGAACGGTGCCGAAATCTTAATTTCAGTTGTGTTAATATGGTTTGCCCTCTTAAGAATTGTTACATTTTTATAAAGGGCTGTAAAGTAGTTTAAATAAAGTATGTAGATGAATAATGTCACGGGAGTTAAGCTGTTAATGTAATGTAAATAATTTAAATATGTTTGACTCTTGGCCTGAGTAAAGTATTTGAGTTACCAGTGTTTTATATTTTTCTTTAATACAAAAATGCATCCTGGTGGTTGAGATGTTGATAATAACAGCTTCCAAACAAAGAAGCAGTGGCAAAACGTAAAGTGAGTTCAACGCCTTGCAAGCCAATTTGCCAAAGGCGTCACCCAGCGGTGAGGATGTGATGTAATACATGAACACAGGTTCGCCCATATTAGAGCCAGACCTTGTTGGCATCTGCCTGTCTTGAGAGACAATGGAGTGCACCTCCGGGAGTGAAGTGAAACCACCGTGTTAGCAGCACCAAAGTGATCTCCCTGGGCTGCAAACCTGAGCAGTATGTATGGAGGCCCTGGGCTGCCCAGACAACAAGAAGACCCACCTCACCCCACCCGTCTTGCTGATGTGATCCAAAGGAAAGCAAAGAAATATGTTTGGCACCAAGCTTGGCTGCAGGAGTTGCCGGAAGTGAGGGCAATCAGCTGCCCTGTTCTCTTTCAGCATGAGGGGAAGGCAGCGCCTCGCAATCGGCTGCCCTGGTCTCCCTCACAGTGAGGGAAGACAGCTCAGATCAGCAGCGTTATCAGTTGAGATCATCGTTCAATATCGGAGGTGCCATGAAATTGGCTGCCCTGCTTCACCCTCACCCCCCCCCCCCCCGCATGAGGAGCGATATATTGCTGGGTCAATACCATTATCACGGTGTGATTTCAAAACCGATTTTGGTCAATATATTAAAAATAACACAGCACTAAAATAGACCATGAAATTTGTACAAAAATTAGTTGAGGAGGCAAGGGATGGAGCTGTGGACCCCCTGGGTACATTCTGCAGACCCCTACACCAGTGTGGTGTAGTGGTTAAGTGCGACAGACTCGCGTCTCCGCTCCTCCACATGCAGCTGCTGGGTGACCTTGGGCTAGTCACACTTCTGTGAAGTCTCTCAGCCTCACTCACCTCACAGAGTGTTTGTTGTGGGGGAGGAAGGGAAAGGAGAACGTTAGCCGCTTTGAGACTCCTTTGGGTAGTGATAAAGCGGGATATCAAATCCAAACTCCTCCTCCTCTTCTATTTAGGAACCACTACTGTAGGCCAAAATGGTTGGGGACCCTGGAAGGAGATCTCGGACAGGTCTTTCCCTGATATTCCTGGAGGTGCCAGGGATTGAACATGGGACAAGGTGCATGGAAAGCTCTACAACTGAGCTATAGCCCCTAATGTTGTATTGCATGCAATCGGGTGGAGGGTCTTAAAGGCACATAAAAGTAATGAAAGCCGTTTCTGTGTTATACTCTTAAAAACAAATAGACTTAATTCACTCTCAGAAGTGCATGGATCTCCCAGCATATATTGTTAATATGCTTTTGCAGTTATTTTACCTTGTTTAAAAAACTGCAAGCAGAAGCACAAGTGATTGCTTTGCTACTACAAAATAGCTCTTCCTGGGAAACATCAGATGACATTTACATTTTTGAAATGCATTTTAAGATTAGGAAAACTGTAGTAAACAATTACAGTCGTACTACATTCTTAATGTAGTTGCAAAACACCAGAATCTTGTTTTGAAAGATCACAAACTTCCAACGGTGGAATTTTAGTTTAAAGATTATAGTGTTTAGCTGAAGCAGAAACAAGGAAATGGGTTCAAGACTTTGAGGAAAGAGAACAATGTGTTTGGACTGGTTCCACTTCCTAGCATTGGAAGGAAAAGAGGTTTTCCTGTGCTTGCAGAAACAGCAATATGCTGAAAGCCTTGTCGACAGGCTTTGCCTTGATTAATAGGTTTCCCACCAAGAATTTTCTATATGCATTTTGAAGAGAATTTTTTTTGCTTCTGGTACAAAGAGAGCCATAATTATAAGTGAACCTGTATGATTCAGCATCACTACAATTTTTAAAATGTGTTTAGAAATAATGCCCATTATGTTAATGAACATAACTGTTAAAATAAAAAAAAATCCTTCCAGTAGCACCTTAAAGACCAACTAAGTAAAATAAATATTTAAACCCTAGTTTCCCAGGTTCTAGTACAACACTTTGAATCACACTGTGTTTGATTGTCTCATTTTACAGCTATCACTTCTCTGTTTCCCAGTACTGTGGTGCTGTTAAAATTAGTGGTACAACCAAGCACGGTGCTGATAACACCAAGGTTGCAGGTTTGGTCCCCTTATAGGACAACTGCATATTCCTGCATTGCAAGGGGTTGGACTAGATGATCCTTAGGATCCCTCCCAACTCTACAATTCTATGAAGCCAATGCTTTAATTTGCAAAAAGGCTTGTTTCAAGATCTCCAAATGCAATGGGCTAATAGACTCGATGTCCTACACCAGTAACTTCTTTCTTGCATCTCCTTCCCTCTTTTTTGTATCTCAGCCTTCAGTGAAACTCCCAAAGGTAACATGGTACGTTTCGACTTGAGGCGAAGGAAAGACACGACGACGCTACTTTAGTGGAATCTACACACACATTAAAAAACACTTTTTAAAAGAAATTTTGAAAAAGACATTGAATTTTGCATAGCTCGCTCTCACCCTCTCGTGTCACATTTGCGTACAGTATTGCACTTTGGCCACCTCATGAGAAGAGAAGACTCCCTGGAAAAGACCCTGATGTTGGGAAAGATGGAGGGCACAAGGAGAAGGGGACGACAGAGGACGAGATGGTTGGACAGTGTTCTCGAAGCTACCAGCATGAGTTTGACCAGACTGCGGGAGGCAGTGGAAGACAGGAGTGCCTGGCGTGCTCTGGTCCATGGGGTCACAAAGAGTCGGGCACGACTAAACAACAACAAATTGCACTTTACAACATATTTAAAACGTTTTCTTGGCAGCTGTGTAGCTGAGTCCTTTGTGTGGCATTAACTTTGGTTGAAGAGATCTAGACCTGGAGATCTCTAGAACACCTGGAAAGGCCCTCGGCCGGGTAAAGGTTTGACTGAGCATTACTAAAAGGCATCGAAATAATAGATTCAAGGCTATATGTAGATATATAGCTTTGAATATACCGTATATTGCCCTGAATCTCGATGCCAGGCGCGCCTAGCCGGCAGAGCGCGCGCGCCTTGAGCCGGGAGGACCCCTTTCCCGAGCCGAAAGCGGCTGCTTTCCCGCCCCCTGCGACCAATTCAGGTGGGTGCTCTGGGCACCCGGGATCTGTAGCACCCTCGCTAGTCTGCTCCCTTCGCCTCCCAGGCTGTCCGCGAGAGGCGCCTCTAGTCCCCACCTGGCTCTTCTCCTCGCCTTGGTCGTCTCCAAAAGGTGGCGCAGGCGGCGGCGCGCTCCGGGCCTGGCGCCAAGCCGCTGGGTTTCCGGAGGGCCGAGCCTGCGCCTTGTGGTGGCCCCTCCTTAGTTCCCTCCCTCCTCCGCTGGCCACCGTCGCTTCGCGCTCCCCCTTCGGCGCCGGTGGAGGGGAGCTCCACACAGGCGTGGCGGCGGCGGCGGCGGCTTTGGCACCGACTCCCGGGAGGCACAAGCTGCGAGGCGGCGCGCAGGCCTGGGTCGGAGAGCGCGCCACGCCGCGCCTGGCTTCGCTTCGGGGCGTCTCCGGGGCTGGAGGTGCAACGAGGACGGGGCTCCTTGGCGCGCAGTCTCCTCGCGTCGGTTTGGAGTTTTCTGCAGGCAGCAGACATAAGAGTTTCTGGTTTCTCTCCCCCCATCCTACCCCCTTTTTTGTGAGTGTGGCTTTCTTCCCTCCTTTCTTGAGTGCAGGTGCCGCCTCTCTGCAAATTCCATCTCTGGAGAGAGAACCGGGCGGATGGAAGATGGGGCGAGGGTTTAGCTCAGTGCGATCCTATCGGGCATGGATCTAGCTGTGCATATTGACCTGGGAGCAAATCCCATTGAGCTCCGCTCTTTATAGTCCAGTGGCCCAAATGAAAGACCGCCCCGGCACTTTTCTCCAAATGACTTCTTTTCCCTTGCAGCCTGAAGGTCTAGGGCTGCCTTTGCAGGTTTTTCAGCACAACCCCTTCCTCTGTCCTCCACATTTTGGGCGACGGCTCCCATCATCCCTGATCATTGGCTATGCTGGCTGGGGTGGGGCTGGTTGGAGTTGGAGTCCCAATATCTGGAAGACCCGCGGTTGGCTTCCCTGCTTTTTCCATGCTGCAGCGAAGCCTAAATCTGTGAAGCAAGTGTGTCTGTGCCTTCATTTCCCTTCCCTTCCTCTGTTGTCTTCAGGGACCTGTCCTTGTACTTTGTAGGTCTTCCTCTCTCCCTGTTCCATATGACTGCCTGATATTTCCGCTTGGATACTTCAACATTATTGTTATCCTTTACTTCAGTATTATTGTTATCCTTCTTGTTTGCATGGCACAGTGCAAGAGATTCCTCATCCTGGGGAGCTTTTAGTCCAAAATTTGAAACAAGGAAGGAAGCAGGCAGGAGCAATACATGTGATTGTTTAAGTTGCATGTGTTTATGCTTGGCCAAAGGGTTCCTAACTATGTTAAGGCATGGGAACTAGGGGAATGCGCCAGAGACTTTGTGGGGAAAAGGTGTGTTTTGAAGAGGGATGTGAATGGGGTCAGTACACAGGTATTCTGGGATCCAAGCAATAAGAGGCAGCAAGAGAGAAAAAGTCGGGCTGTAGAACCTGTAGCTCTTTATGTGCAGACCATATATACTAGATCCAGATTATTCTAGGGTGTTGGGTGAAAGATTCCTGCATTGCAGAGGGTTGGACTTAGATGACCATCATGGTCTCTTCCAACTCTGTGATTCTATATTCTACATATGCTCAGAAACACTTTTCTTTATTGTTACAGGTATGAACCCTGGCACTGAAAAATATTGTGGCAATGAGCCTTGGTGCAAATTAAGTCCCGTTTGAAAGCTCTGCAGCAGGCAGGGAGGCTGACAGCATCTCTCTCTCTCTATCTTCCCATTCCTAAGGACCCAGAGCCATTAACCACAGAGGTAAGGTTTGTCAGGTGTCTTCCAGCATAAATGGACATAGAGATCAAAATCCAAGAAGATACGGAGTTGCTGTACTTGATTATGTTTTTCATGGAGACAGAATATAATGCC